TTCAAGGCAAGGAAAAATACCCGATCTTTCTGTTAGCTTTGAAGTTCCCATACCATGGAAGTTAACAAAAAAGATTGGAACCATCCATGTCTTCAAAGTTTCCATATCCTCTATGGTGAGTTCTTTCAATGCCGGAAACAATGCTCCATACGCACCAGCATCACTACATCACTACGATCACAATAAAATTTACGACTTATGTACTTCACATTGTTCATCTTTTTTATTTCAAGAATTTTGAGATTGCGCAATCTCCCAAGAGTTGGAAGACTTCTGCAATTCATGCAATTGAATAAATTCAATTCCACCAAATTGTTCAGCAAATATGAATCACTACAACCACTATTGATGCTCCTCCAAACCCATGATGGAAAGTTCTCACCCCTGAAATTCCTAATACTCAAACTTTTCAAATTTGCAGGAGGCTCCAAGCCCTCCAACACTTCTTTATTGTAGTTGAAGCTTTTATAGCTCCATTGGACATCTGATCCATTCACCTCTTCCTGATCATCCTCAAAACCTTCTATTTCAGAGCTCCATTCATATATCAATTTGTATATATTTGTCTTTTCTTCCAATTTTGCACCCCTGGCTTCTTCTCTGTCTTTAACATACTCAAGATTGCATATCCTCAATTCTCCTCGAAGTTGATTAAAATTTCCCAGCTCCTTGATTTGCAATCCAATTCCACACCCACAACAAATAATGGCAACGTCCTCGTATTGTCCGCTCTGGCCCCCCCTGGCCTCACGGTTTTGTCCTACAAAAGGCGCCTCACAAGGCGGAGATGGTGTGAACCCTTTTATACCCCAGGGACCTTCCTATTATGTTCGATGTGGGATTCAGGACTCCTCCTTAGGTCCGTGACATTCTCCCGCACCCAACCTCGTGACGCCCTCGTCACGGAGGCCGGCCACCCTGCCTACCTCCCTCGAGGTGCTCGGCGTGGATCGAACGGTTTAGGGCTGGCTCTGATACCACTTGTCACGAGTCGAGACTCAAGCTCCGAACCCGCGCGGCTCTGGGACCCGGGCATTCACCCTTCCGGCGTCCCAGATCAGCCTTCCGCCACGGTTCACACCCTTGTGAGGTATTGTCCGCTCTGGCCCCCTTGGCCTCACGGTTTTGTCCTACAAAAGGCGCCTCACAAGGCGGAGATGGTGTGAACCCTTTTATACCCCACCACTAGGAAGGCGCCCAATCTCAACTGGCATAAGCTTTTCATCATTGAAATAAGTATGTCTCAAACTGACTAAGTTTCCTAATATTCCTTTCGGAAGCATTTCCAGATATCTGCAATGCATGAATCTTAATGTTTGCAAATTGTAAAGTCTGTCCATGGATTGAGGTAGTTTTGTTATGCTACTTCCTGAAACATCCAAGTACCCCAAACGCTTGAATCTACCAAGAAAAGCTGGCAAGTCATTTTTCATAGCATCACAAAAGTTTAGAACTCGTAAACTTTTGAGATCCCTTGACACATCATTGAAGACGTCAACTTTTGAAAACAAAGACCGCAATTTTTTAGCAACATCCTCTGTGATCTTTGGCACCAATTCCTTATCATAAGCAACATTTACATGTCGAATATGATCAGAAATATCAGTGGTAAGCTTAGAAGGAAACATTTCTGATTTTGAAACAAATTGAGCAAGATCATGCACTACATCATGTATCTTGCAAGTTCTGATTTTACCACATGTATCCCTTTCCACTTCTTGAAATAAAGAGTTTGATAGCAAGCCATTACAAAACTTATCACCAATATCTTCCAACTCTATACCACATCCTACTTCAGACCTTGTAATTTCCTCAAATGAATGAAGAAAACCTTGAGCCATCCAAAGCTGAATCAGTTTATCCTTTTCAATAACATGGTCCTTAGGAAAGATCGAACAATATGCAAAACATTGCTACAAGCAAAATGGGAAGTTGTCAAAACTCAACTTCAGCTTAGGTAAAACCTCGTCGGTGTTTTCCAAACTATTATTCATCGCCAACCACTTTTCTTTTTCCCTAGTAAAACACTTGCAAGCAATGGCACACCTCCACATTTTTCTGAAATCACCTTCCCGATATCTTCTAGATCTGAACTTATTAAAGCCCCTCCTTTCTTGCAGGCTCTTTCCTTGATAATTGACTAGCATTCTTCATTTGATAATTTTTCCAAGTGATGCCTATGATAAGCAGATGTCTCCACAATAGATGCAACGTTCTGGCTACGAGTGGTTACAACAATAGCATTTGCTTTGTCTTTTATGTCTATGGATAAGTCACCTGCATTATCATTAATTTTTGACAAACGGTTCTTAAATTCACACCACTTCTGGCAATCTTCATTCCACACATCATCAAGAATCAGAAGAAAACTTCTATCTTTCAACTCTCTTCGAAGGTTTCGAAGTATGGCAACAATATTAGTCATGCCCCCAGCACTTCTGTCCAGAGATTCAAGCATTCCTCCTAGAATCTTTTGGTGACTAAAATCATCAGAAACACACACCCAAATTGCTACATCACAAATCTTCTTCTCTTCTACTTCTTTACACACCGATTTAGCCAAGGTTGTCTTTCCAATGCCTGGCATACCAACTATGGAAATGACAGATATCTCATGTTGGTTGCTCAGACTACTCAGCATGTTGACAATCTTTGAGACATCATCTCTCCTTCCAACAGGTTCAGAATCGAGGTTGGAGTCAGAGTTATAGTCTTGGCTGATCATTTCAGCAATTCTACCTACTGATCCAACTCTATTACCAAGTCCCAAAACAAATCCTTCATTTTTTATTTTATCCAAGGATGCATTGATCTTTTCAAATTTGTTGGCCATTATGAAGTGGAATAACACAGGGTTGGAGAGAGAGAAGAAATTGCACACCTGTTTCCACACTAAGCTGCACATAGGCTTATTTATCACGATCTCTCTTCGTAGATCTTCATAAACAAGATCATCAAGAACATCATCCGCCTCATAAGCCACTTCCTGAAGCTTCAGCAGCCATCTTCTAACAGCTCTCTCTCCCTTGTCTGTCTTCTGCATCGTGCAACACATCCTGAATGATAGCCAATGAGTGTTGAAGCCTTTTCAGCTCATCTTCAAAATGCCATGCAAGTTTGATTTGCTCAGTAGCAACTGAACTCAGGCTTGAAACATTCACTTGCATGCAAGCTCACAGCTTCAGACATTGTTCCAGTTTCAATCTCTAATCTTTATGTTATGAAAGAAGTGCTAAGAATATGATACTTTTTGTTCTGTTTTCAGTATTTAAAATTCGCTATGCTCACATATAAACCGCGTACGAAGGTATGTACAAAATTAAAAAAACCAAGGAGTGTTGGCTGTCATATCTACTTGAGAAGAGTCCACTTTAAATCAGATCAAAAATTCAGGATAATGTATACTATGTACAAAGCTGGAGTTGTATTATTAATAAAAAAAACTTTTTGTTGCTTGTTTTTTTTTTATTTTGAAATTCCTGCCTTTAGTTCTTATTATTGTAATTATTCATTACAATCATCAGAATTACAAGAAAACTTGTATCTTTCAGTTTCTTTTTATGGTTTTGAAGTATTGCATCAATATTAGTCATGCCACCAGCACCTCCGTCCATAGATTCTAAATTCCTCCTAAAATCTTTTGGTGACTAAAATAATCTTCTTAATTCTAAAAAAGAAAAGATTGAGAATTGAACTAGAGATTCATTTATCTTCTAGTTCTATTAGCAAACTTGAAAGAAAATGTCACAAGCTTGAAGAAAGGAGCTTCGGCTGAGAATTTCCTAAGCAAACTCGTCTAGGTTATCATCAACCTTATGATAGGCAATGTCTCTAAGCCTCTCCAGCCAAAGCTGCACAGCCTTGTCTCTCACTTGCCTTCCATCCGCACCCTGAAGCACAGCCTGGACCATAGTAAGTGAGCCACGAAGCCCTTGTCAGGTCTTTCTTGAAACCCCAGGCGAGATTGTTCAGTGGCAAGAGAAATCACCTTGGAAAATGTTGCCACTATAAAAAAACTGAACAAAGCTTCAGCCATCTTTTGATAAGCGCCATTACAAGAATAGAAATGCATCTTTCCAGACAGTAACTCATCTATCTTATGTTCTTCATGAATTCTAAAGGAGTGAGAAATTAAAAGAAAAATGACGCATTCTGATTAAGCTTGTAATCATGGATGAATATCCCCATAGTTGCAGGGAAAAAGAGCATGTGAAGCCCAAACAATGGAGTAAAGATTGAATACAAATCTGTAGGAAAGCTTACGAACATTTACAAAGAGACTGGAAGAGTGGGCGGCTTTGCTTCATCCCTTGAGCTTTTGTGCCGAGTGTTTTGCATTTTTCTTTATTCTGTTTTGTGCTGATTTTATTTCAGTTGAACAGCCTTCGTTGCTATAAGAGGCATAAATAATTCGAATAAAACTCTAGCTCAATCGATTTCATCATTATTAAGTTCAAACAATTTGAGTTTAAATTTTATCATTATTAAGTTCGAACAATTTGAGTTTAAATTTTTTAATATCTAACTTGAATAACTTGTAAATTAAATCAAACTTTTATATTTTCGTATATATTTTATTATTTTAATTAAAAAATTATTATTTTATTTATATATATAAATTCAAATTTGAACACAAATAAATAATTAAAATCAAACATAAAAATTAAACTTATTTTTTATTTAATAAATGAACCTAATCTTTATTTAATAAATGAACTTAATCGAATTAATTTAAGTAATTTAATTCTTATTTCGAGTTAAACTCTAATTAAAATTTTATCAAATTTAAATCAAATTTCAGGTAAAAATTTTTAAATTAAATTCGAATTTCTCACTATATCAACACTGGCTCGGCTAACCCTCTAATTAATACATGTAAAACAACACCATCTTCTTTAATTGTTAGGGTTCCTTTCATGTAATATATTTGTTAATCAATTTAAAGTTGCTGCAGTAATATTTAGTGAAATTACATTGACAAAAACTATTTAAAAATGAAAACTTGGTTCAATTTATAGTAGATAATAATCAAGCAATTTAGAATAGATTAGAATAGAGAAAGTGAACACTGCTCTTAGAATGAAAGCATCTGCCACTTACTTCCACAGGTTGAAAGAAACAGAAAAGCTTCACTGTTTCACTCGAGTAAGAAGATCTAATATATCAGTTATCAGTTTTAAATCCTCTCCTACAAACAAATTGATAAGAACAGCAACGAGTCATAGGTGATATTAAGTCTTCGATGCAGTAGCAATGCTAAGCCCCATCTGCTAATGTCCTCTTTGATGTACTGATATAAAGTACTGCATAAGTGAAATCAAATTGACAATCATTGCCAGCACAAGTATATAAGTAATAAAAAGTGAAATAAAAATTAAGTTTATCTAACAATGGTTACCATTATTTCCACGAATAAAAGCGTCACCGTATTTATTTTTTAACTGTCCATTGACATATTCTTCTGTTTGCTCCATAGCTATATTCATATATCCATCTAGACAAGCTAGAATGCCTGCAAATTAGGAGAACAAGTTGAGGACACAAAACTCCAGGAAAGCCAAAGTACGTAAATCGATAGACCAAGAATTCAAATTTGAACGTTGGCTCTCCCTGCTTTCTGAAACACTTGAAGCAAAGGGACGGGCACGAAGCTTACACAATCACTATCACCCACATATATATTCCAAAAAGAAATTTTCATAATATACATTATGTGCACTATCTCTGTATAGATATGCAGGTGTCTCAAACATCTTTGGAGAAAATTTGCAGATTCAATGAAAACCATCAGCATGCAGAAAAAATTAAAACCATGCCGTTCATGACAACTTTGATATCTTACAGCAGAGGAAAGGAAAATACTGACGGACAGAAATAAAGAATGAGAATGATAATAATAAAGACAGTTGTGATGTAAATGTCTCCCTATTATGTTCATTCTTAGTATTTACTATCTCAGTTATCCTGTAATTGCAAACAACAGCAAGGTGCCCCAAACGATTAACCGCATGCAAATAACAACATAATGCATTACACAACAAGCAACTAATAAATTCCAAATATGTTCTTTGAACAATATGCAACCGGTGAGTGGTAATCTCCACACAAGATATTTAAACTAACAATCCTCAATCACCTAGAAACTACAAGATATTTGAGAAAGGGACAGATACTTTCTCTTTCCTGAGAGTTTGAGCTGAATTCTAGGCATGTATGAAAGAGACAGAGAGACTTCATGAAATAAACCAGAGAAAAACCACTCAAAAAAGCTGTCAATGCGTATCATTTCGTATCTCCTAGAAGAGACAATAAGAAATGTTCTATTGTTCACTTAATTCAGCACATTAAAAATAAGGCTTAATACCAAAATATGCCATCAAAGTTGAGTAAAAAAAAGGAATTAAGCCCCTAATCTTTTATTGCATGTAAATAAGACTACAAGGTTTTATCTTTCTGTAATTATAACAGCTTTTAAGTTGTTTTATCACTTAAGTTATTTTATAAAAAGTCTAATTGAAATATCGGAAGACTAATTATGACTTTTCACGTGTTTACCAACAATGCTAGCTAACAAATTTAGTCGTCTGCTATTCCAATTGGATTTTTTGATTGATTTCAAAAGTTTATGGTTATAATTACATACAAATAAACAAATTATAGCTTTATTTACGTGCAATAAAGGATCAAGGGCTTTCGAAAGTATACTTATATATTAAGCCTAAAAATAACAATCAAATTTCTAAATCCAAAAAATAAATAAATAAATCTAAAAGCAAAATGGAATAGAAGCATACATAGATGAAAAAATAATAAGGTAGAAGTGGAGATGCAGAAAGACCAACCTCTATAATCAACGCCAGAATTCAGTTTGACAACAACTGGTCGCCCACGGATTGATTTGAGGAAATCTGCAGGTGTTTTCGTAGTTGTTGACCCTTTCTCTCCTGCCCCACTCATCTTCCTTATCCTACTTCCACACCAAACTTTTATTATTTGCAAATCATAAAACAGTTTAAACTTTCTAGAATTACTAGTTTGCCTGCAATATATTCAAGTGAATAATTCTATGGTGGTAAATATAGGACCTAGGACCTAGGAAGGGAAGCCAGGCTTCATAGACTAACACATACGCGTGTGTTTGTGTGTGTGTATAAACCAGGCATGCTTATGAGTCCATAGTAAAGAATATCAACAGTCAACTAGAGCTGCTTCAAACAAAATTTCTTATTAACAGGCATTCTCTTTTACAATGAGATCAATAATAATAAAAGTCGCAAAGCAACTTCAACCTATTTCCAACCCCACTAGAATCTGCCGCTTTTGACGTAATAGAGAAATGCAATTAGAATTTATCCTTTACACTCCAAAAAAAAAGGTAAGCAATGCCAAAAACATTTTAAATCAACAAAAAAATCATATGTATAATAACTAATTACCCATTTGTTGCAAAATCTAGACAAACAACAAATGTCATACTATACTTAGATACTAGATTGGCAAACCAAAAAAAATAAAGAAAGACCCTTTAAGCTGTGCTTTCTCCCAATTTAAAAGTAACAATATATTTCAGACAACAATTTTCACAACTTAGATTAAAATCGCACCTAATCCACTATTTTTCTCTCATGTTACTGCAACTTAGAACCCCAAATTTTCCACCCTATTCCAGAACACGCATGTATCAGTATACCCTACAAGTAAACAAAAATTTCCCACCTAAAACTTCAATTAAACATAAAAATCCCATGAATTAGAAAAACAAGGGCTACCCCAAAGCAAGCTTCAGTTACCTAGGAAATTGCAGACACACCAGAACCTTTGAACTCAAAAGAACAAAAAGCAGTCAAAAAAGGAACCAAAAATCTATGTTTTTTTTAAAAAAAATACCCATTAGAATCCATGAAAAGGGTACCTACCCATGTAATTGTCATCATTATAAAAACTCAAAAAAATTCATATAAACATAAATAGGTGAAATACATAGGTTATGCCAAAATGGGCTTTCAAGCTATTCATTTTTCAAAGATTTTATTACTTGAAAACGGCAAAAAATTACCGAATAGATGGCCAAACAAGATATAATCAAACTGGCCCAAATATCTCATTGAAATTAAAAGAAAAATAAACCCCGTAAAGATAAAGAGTAAAGTTTTAATCTGAATCCGAAGTACGAGAAGTGTTTCCAGCAACCTAAAGCTTACCTTCTCCAGTTTCTTGATCAGTTGGCTCGATGACACTTACACGGGAAAAATGGCCAAAGTCCAATTGCTTTTATAGTTGGGGAATAGATATGAAAACGGAGTCGTTTAATGTTTCTTCATTCTTTACTTTTTTAAATTTTTTTCTCTTTTGATTTAAGTTGGTAGAGTAATTTACAAACCAACCCTACTAAATTCCCCAAACTACAGTTTTGCCCTATAATCTTGTTTTGGAGTGATATCGACCCGACCGAATTCAATTTAATTTTTAAATATTATATAATATTATAAATCTTTAACTTTTGGTTTAAATTTGAATTAATTTTTCATGTAATCCGATTTAAATTGAATCAAATTTTAGTGATTTGATTGATAATTTTTTAAATTTAATTTTTTATTAAAATTTAACAAATATATTAAATTAATAAAAATATATAATTTCAATTTGATTTTTTTTTATTTCTCAAATCAAGACGTAATATATCAACTTAATATTTAAATTTAATTCAAACTAAATAAAAAATATCAATCTCATCCAAACTAAACACTACAATTCAAAGCGATTTTTAATTTTCACAATTATTTTTCTCACCAATACACTTTTTCATCTTGTCCCGTTGGCTAAATCTTTTTATTTTGAAAACACTGGACTTCAAGTGGTTCGCTCAGCTTAGCAAACTTCCTTTAATTGTTGAAAGTGTTGAAGAAATAAGTAAAACTTTCACAAGAAACTCATGCATGCAATGGCTTATACGTGCATGTGAGCAACATGGGAAAGAGAGAAAGAGAGAGAGTGCTTGAGAGCTTTTGTTGATGTATACCTATTAATGGATCCATTTATGCTGAAATTTACTATTAGTTTTTCACTTTTGTTTTATGTTATATATTTGAACTGATCAAGGAAGCAACACCCTTTTTCATGACATTTTTTGGCTGATGCAGGTGGATGCCGGAAATTTCCAGAACTTGAGAATCCTATGAAACTTGTCATTAATGTGCAAGTTGTAGCTCATGTCAGTCACAACTCAAGGCCTGAGCTAAGGTCCAGTGAGGTGAGTACCTGAGTTACACTGTATAACAATGAAAGGCCTTGTCCAGTGAGGTGAGTACTGGTAGCTAGGTTGACTGTATAACATCACCCTTTGTGTTCATCATTTTCAATACTATCAAATACATCGTTCTCGTTAAATAATGATTCAACCAAAGTAAAAAAATTTTATTACACAAATCACTCTTTATCGATTTCTTCATTGAAAATTTTAGAATCTGCAAAAAAATTTTGCTTCAAAATTTCTTATTTTCCAAAATTTAAAAGTGTGCTCGAACACCTTACTATTGATTCTGAATCCACTTGCTTCGTGCTTAAAGGGGATCGCATTTTCTACCTGTCCTAGCAGTTTAGATCTCATATTAAACTTGATCCAACCCTTAGATTGGTCACTGCATTGTAAATTTACAATTAGAATATTTGTGTAATGTAAAATATTTAAATTTATATTATATTTTATACAAAAATTATATATCACAATTCGTATCAATATGAAAAAATAAAATATATTTATTTAATTCGTAACACACTCATATCGTATTACTATATTGTGTTTTATATTATCAAATCTACTATATATACTCACCCTGTAAATGAAAAGAACGAACAATAGAATGCAACAAATTTGAATGTATGGGCAGGATCATGAAAACTGTCTTTGAGGAAAGAATGACATAAACCTCTTGTTTTAGACTTCTACGATTTTCTTGATCTGATCTTAAAGCATCCTGTATCTAAAATTCAAGGTCCACAAGCAATATGTTGAATTAGAGGCTTGAAAAACAACACACTAAAACTCTTTCTCATTGTCATTATGCAATGATGGAATTACTTCCATCATAGCAGATAGATTAGCTGCCTGGAAATGCAAGGAAAGTCACTGACTATGTCCTCCTTTGGACAAGGGGCCATGTGCTATGACCAATCTTTGCCCTCTCTCCCTAATAAAAGAATGCCAGATCAAACCTCTCAGCCACAAGAAGTAACTTGTTATCTCTTTCAATAATTGATGGACAAAGACCTCACATTTGATTGTCCCCAATACTCACCACAACTTGTTTCTAATTCTAGTACAAAAAGAAATTAGGCAGGCACGTGTTAAAACACAACAGTTAACAGATCTATCATTCTACTTACAATCATTGAACATAAATTTCAGTTTCAGAGTCACTAATTTATTTACAAGATAGATCCAACTTTTATAGATATACTACTTTATTACCTCCCAATATAATTTCCTCGTGTATATTACACATAGCAAAACAACTTCCAAAATCCTGTAAGTAAATATATTGAAGTACAAATTTAGCTAACCAAAAAGAGATTACATTATATAAATATATATATATATATATGTATGTATGCATGTTGAGACCTACCCACAAGCATCTTTGCCATGACTGCTGCATTCTTGAATGGGACCTGGTTAGATAGATATAAGATTCATGGATCAGGATCTATGATGAGGATGATGAGATTTAACCCCAAATATGCAGATGGGGGACATTAATCAGGAACTATAATCAGGATGATGAGCTTTCATCGTCGGAGGAACCATAATGCTGCCTTATGTTGAGTCTGGGAAAAACTGGTTGATGGGCAGGATTTGGCAATGGACGTGCCAAACTGTATATTGTTCTCTCATTGACCTTTGCAACTTCCTTGCACACTTGATCGAGAATAGAAAGGAAATCCCTTACAACCATAAAAATCCTGAATGGATGAGCTTCTTCCTCGGCTGAGTTCCCATGGAAATATTCTGTTATCTCCTTCACCATAGAGAGAGCAACTGTGTCTTGGGCTTGGATCCTTACAATCTCTTCCTCCGCCTTTTTCAGGAACTCAGTCATTGACATACAGAACTTGTAGGTACTGTCCTTCAGCGCAATTTCTTCATTTGATTTTATAGCTTCTCTTACTTTAGAAATACCAGTAGCAAGTTTTGCAACTTCAATACTAAGAACATCTGAATCCATAGTAGCAGCCTTCTTCACGTTGGTGAGCTCCCCACTAAGACCAGAAACAACTTGCAGGCCGAGCTTCCTGAATTCAACATCATCCTGAAAATCAGATCGCTGAATTTTCTCAGCTTTCAGATTCTCTTTAGAACCAGAAAGGCAAGAACCTTCAGCTCTGATGATTTCCTGCACAACAAAATGCAAAAGCGTGGTTTTCCCATCAGTGCCCTTTACATCAACAAGCTTTAAGAGTGTATCAAGCTTGAATGCATGTGCATCGCCATGGTTGGTGCCAACATTCATACGGTTTCCAGTTTTGAGCACTGCCTCCAAAAGCTTCAAAAACATTCTGCTGTTTCGCAACTCTCCACAAGCAGCCTGCAGAGGAGAAATAAGTTGCCGCAATTAGAAAATTACCACCCAAGAGTAATTTGAAACATCAAAATCCTTCATTTCAAATGGATGCAAGACCAAAATATCAAGAGTAATGGTTATGAAAAGGACATCATGCTCATGAATACATATGCACACAGCTTTATCAAAAGCATAATGGTGAAAATAGTGTATGGTTGCCCCCAAAATGTTATTGACTAAATGTAGCCTTCATCTCTATGGAGCTTGATTACCATAAGCATTTTCACTTGATTACCAAGATGTTATTGACAAAATGTTATCACGCCAACTGTCATTGGATGCAGAATTACGACCATTGAATTAAATCCAAGCTTATGGTTTTGAACATCACTTAGCTGGAATACCATAAACTCACTAGCTGCTTTGTATGAAGAGTTTAACGCAATTGAACTAAACCCAAGCTCACAATTAGGAAGATTACTAGGCCAATGATGAATAAAGCACAACTGTTATCCTCTTAGATGGTAGGCAAGCTTCTTATGCAGGAATATAGGTCTAAATAATTGACTCTCAGTTGGATCTACGAAGCAGATAAAGACATAAAATATGATAGATTAATCAGACACTTTGAAGCTCCCCATAAGCTTCTTGTAATAGTAAATCTGATCCCTTAAAAATAAAGAAAAAAAAAAAGAAGCAATAATCAAGAGAAACAACAGAGAACTGTCCCTATCTTACTTGTTGACTTTTAACTTGCAATAAGCTACTGCAACTGAGTTGCTACAGTCCTAACAAAGCGTGTTTTATGTTGAAAAAGTTTTAATTATGGTCCAAGAAAAAAAATAAAAAAGGTATCAATGATGAAGAAGAATCGATAGATATAAGATTCATAACAGATATCTGAGTGGTTGCCCAATAAACCAGAAGCACACAAGTACACACAGATTGGAAATTAAGACCTACCTCTAAAGTTTCAAAAGACCTTTTCAGGTACTCAATTTCAGAGTCAAAATTAGCAATGTACAGCATAGCATCAACCCTCTTGAAGGCGAAAGGTATGTCAAGAACTGCCTTGAGGAATTTCTCGGCAGGACCTAGCTTAAAAGGTGATTCATCTTTGAACTCCTTCAGCTTACACTCTTCTTCTTTGGTTGGAGCCATTTTTAATAAGCTTTCCAGGAGTTCTGTCCCAAGTGTGTCTGAATTGCCTGTTTGCAGAGAAGTTAAAGCAGTTTAGAGATATAATAAACGTGAGGAAGGAGAGGATGACAAGAAGAAATACAGTTGGTTGTCCTATCACGTAAAACTTTTTACAGCTATAGTTTGAAAGGCAATAAAGTGTACAATTTTGTTCTTGAAATAGCATTTCTAAACTGGAGATATAATCGCAACCATTTCAGCAAAACCTATAAAGCAATAATAAACAGCACCAAATAAACAGTTATGTTCTCCGAGGCACTGCCATCCTAAAACCATACGTTTAGCCCTCCTGAAAATGTATAGACAAATGGACAATTGATAGTAAATAGGTGACACCTTAGAAACCTGTCTCAACTCTCAACTGAACAGATTTTCTTGTAGTCTCAACTTTCAAGAACAGAATTATATATTGCTTATACAAATGCTACATGAGGTATGGTATTGGATGAGAAATGAGATTCCCTCAGTTGGGAAAGGCTTTTAATTCACCACCATCAAGGTCACAGCATAGCTTCCAAAAAAGTAAATATGAATTATTGCGGTTTGTCTTGGTCTTATTTTATGATTGGTTGGTTTGAATATTGAACTCAATATTTTATGGTTGTGGCACAACAAAATCATTTCAAGCCTGGAGTTCCGATGCATTAGAATTGTTTTTCTCAAGTATAGTCCTCTAAAGTCTGTTCCTCCTACTACAGGACCATCGCTTGTCAAAGAAAAAATTAATTTCTCCTTTATGCTCTATCTTTTATTGATTCATTGTACTTGCCATGCATGTGAAATGATTACCTTCCACAAGTGCTTCACAGACTTCATCAATGGTGACATTTAGTGCCCTCAATAAAATTGCAATGTTCTGAGATTTCTTTGGTTCAAGCACGCGATTTTCCTGATTCACAGAGGACAGAATCTGCCTGCGACCATTATCTTTCGTGACCAAATTTGAATTATTCACCACAAACAGTGACTCAATCATTTCCTCATTCAATCTGAAGCACCATTATGGCATTCTACATGTTACCAAACACTCCAAAAGCAATAATTGTAGAAATAAAGTAATTCAACACCAAAAGAAGAAGAAAAGTTTAAGCAAACTAGATGTACTACTATTAAGAGTTAATACAACACTAATTCAATAAACGAGTAAAAGAGGGCTGTGAGTATCTTACTGAAAAGAGCTTGCTTTTATCCGATCCCATACCATGGCCCGATCCGAACTCGCTTTAACCTTATCCCAATGCAAAGGCTTCAATTTCGGTTTCGGGGTCTCTTCACTCCCATGTAAGCCCTCATTCTTCTTCAACTGCTCATTCACTACCAAATTCTGCAACACTATTGGCCTAGAAGGCGCAACAAAAACCGGAGGCCTCCCTGAATTAGTCTCAGGATCAGACTTCACTGCCACAGGAGCCTCCCAGAAACGCGATGGAGGGAGCGGAGGAGGTGGTGGTGGCAGCTTCTTAACCACAATCCTTGATGGAGACTTCTTGTTCTGCCCCGAAACACTTCTATCCGGCGAATCCCGTTCTGACGACGATGAAGATAATCTTGTAGATGAAGGTGAAGTTGGAGATGGGTTTTTTACTCTCACTGTATAGATGGGAACAACATTATCTGGAGACTTGAATCTCAGAGTCAAAGGACTTGAGTTCAAGAATGAATTTGTAGGTGAACAAGAGTTGGAACAAGGGTAAGAAGCGGTTCTTGAGTTGAAGCTTCTACTAACAAAGTTCTCACCCGGGAACTCCCTCCTCGAACTTGATCCCATTCTTGCTGGTGGTGGACTCTCTCTTCTACCTGATGACCCTTTGGTTGAAAAAAACTCCTCTTCTTCATCTTCAACATTGTTTTCAAAGCCACCTATTTGCCTATTTTGGAGAAACTGCTCTCCACTTTGAAAAGTTTGGACTTTTGGCAATGGTGGCAATGGTCTCAGCTCTGGAGAGCCAAGCTTTTGATAAGGAGAAGATGAAGCTTCCAGTTTGATACCTCCATTGCTAGAAAGGGTTGTTTTTTCTGGGTCTACTCTAGAGTTTACAAGGGTGCCTAGGTAAAGAAACTCCGAGCTGCGGTTGGTTGAGACATAGCGTGGCGGTTGTTGCGGTGGTGTTGGAGGAGGTGGCTTCTGGGAGACATCTGAAGGGGAAACGTTGGGAGGGAATAAGCGGAGGGAGTCCGAACGGGAAGCTTTGTCGTTGGAGGAGGTGTTTTGGTGGTTACGATGGCGGACGAAAAGGGCGAGGGCGGCGAGAGAGAGGATGACGGCAGCAGCGAGGAGAGAGGAGGAGAGGGAGATGAGGAGGTGGCGGTGGTGGGAGGAGTGGGAGGGAGAGTGGGGAACGAGCAGGGAGGAGATGTTGGCGGGAAAAGTTGGGAGCGTGGAGGGTGAAGGAGGAGGGGGTGGAGGGGAAGGAAAGGAAGGAAAGAAAGGATTTTGAGAGGTGGAAGTGGGAGTTGTGGAGAATGGATACTTGGGTTGTTGTTGTTGTTCATCGTGATGAGGTTGGGGTTGTGGGGAAGGAAATGGGGAAGAGGATGAAGGAGAGTATGTTGGTGGAAGAGATGTTTGAGGGAACAAAGGTTGGTGGAGGAGGTGGCGGTGGTAGTGGATGGAAGTGGCGGTTGTGATGGCGGAGAGAAGGAGGAGAAGGACACGACGTAGGTAGCTCATGGTGGCTGTTAGCATTATTATTGTTTTTGAACTTGAAACCACACACAAACACACTCTCTTGACTGTTTTTTGACTAAGAAAAGGGTCAGAGGGAGAGACAAAGACAGCCAGCCAGACAGAGAGAAGAGTGTTTAACTTTCTTTGATGATTACTTTGAACAGAGAAAGAACATGAAAGAGGAGAACTTGCTTTCTTGCTATAATATACAGTGGACCAAACAGGCAACAGAAGAAGAAAGGAAGGGAACAGTAAGAGCAAAGGGAACGGTAGTTCAGACTGTTCAAAACACTTTCATTTTTCACCTCTGAACTTTGAACAAAACCCAATCTTCCATTGCAAAACATGGTAACAGTAAACATAAATGTTTCAAAAGCTGTCTAAAAAACTTACCATGGACGAGGTGGAATGATCATTCCAGCCACCCAGGTGTGAAAAAAGACTCAATAGGTGAGAAAACAAAGGCAAGAAACTTTCTTGTACAAGATACACAAAAAGAAGAAGAAGATAAAAAATTTCTGACAGACAGACAGACAGATATTGTTCGTTATTGGCATTTGCATCAACTTTTTTTCCTGTGTTGGGATTCTTGCAATTTTATACAACTTTCTTTCTGGGCCTGGTTAAAGATGAGCTGGTTACACTTACACTGTGATCCTGTATACTGTGATGAGGAGGTGAAAGGGAATCCACCACCAGCAATGACGTTAAAAAGTATATATAGTCATTTTTCGTGGGTGCAACTGGATATTGTAATTTGAGAGCGGTTGAAGACAGCAAGAGACATACTATTCCATGTTTTTGTCCTAAGAAAATCAAAGGTTTAATCGAATTTAAACTTTGTTTTGGACATTTTGAAGTTCTGTTTTTCCTAGGATGAGAAAACAAATTTAAAAATTTAAAAATCTATTCGAAATTATTGTGTTTAGTATGATTGAAATCGATTTTTTTTTATTGATTCAAATATTAAATATATATATTAAATTTAAATTAAATTTTAAATTAATAAATAATAAATAATAAAATCAAATTGAATTTAATTATATATATTTTAGTGTTTATATATTTTTTTAAAATTTTTATAAAATAATAATAATTTTATATTAAAATTTATTTAAATATATTAAAATAATATATAAAAATTAAAAAATGACAGATCGATTCAAATCAATAAAATTTGATTCAATTCAATCTGATTCAAATTCGAATCATATTTAAATTTTTATAATATTATATAATATTTAAAAAAATCAAATTAAATTTAATTTGAATCGAATCAATTATCACTTTTATTATTTTTTATTGAAATACTATGATCTGAATTTTTAATTTCTTATTTATCTTTTATAAAATTATATAATGAAATAAAAATTATAATCATAATCTAACAATCTCAATTTAATATTTTTGGATAAAGATTTTTATAAAAAAAAAAATCAAGTGTACAATTCCCTGCGCAATAAAAAACGTTAAGGGTCCCTCAAATTGCGACAAAGATGCGACTGCCCTATGATTCCCAGATGGGTTTTTTTTTTTTTTTTTTTTTTTTAGTGCTTACAACAGCTAGTAGTATGCAAATTTTCAATCATTCATATTTTTGCGGAATGTGGGAGGGATAATATTTGAACGGCCAAATTTATACAACCAACTGTGACCAACCAAAGTGAGTATAATTTGCCATGCATTAATTTATGATTGCATCTTAGTATTTTAGTAAAAAACTTATATAACTTTGGGAAGTTAAGTTTTGTTTTCCATCAAATATTTAAAAATATTATATAATTTCACAATTTTAAGATTAAGAAAATTACTTTTTTTTCAATTTAAAAAATTAATTATCAAATATTATTTATTTGAACTTTTAAAATTTTATATTCGTGTTATGCACGGAGTAACTATATCTATAATAATTTTTGTAATATAATATTATTTAAAAATTTAATATAATTACAATTTTAAATAACAATTTAAATTTTATTTTCATAATTACAAAAATATTAATAATGGTTGATGAAAAACTTAAGTCACCTTAAATAATTTTTTATCATTATTTTATTTACAATTTAATAAATAACCTTGATTTGATTATTAAAAATAAAGTATAAAAGTACAAAACAAAAAAAATGTGATATAAAATTTTTTCTCATTTAAAAATAATTTCATTCATAAAACCAAAAGATTACAAAACTTAAAAATCTTACTAGAAATGGCTCCAATGCATGAATAGAAAATTAATTGTAACAACATCTAATAATACACAATTTAATTTCTCAAAAAAACAATACACACATCCTAACCTCCTTGGAGTCTACTATTAACAGGCATAAAATAATTTTGTTTTTTCTAAAGGTAAAGAATCAATAGTTTGCTACTTTGCCTTTCTAAGGGTATGGGCAAAATTAATAATTCCAATTTTACTTATAATAATTAAAAACTTTTCACTCCTTTTTAAGGTCATGAATTTGTGTTAAATATTTAAGATATAATTGCTCATTTAAATCTAATATCATATATATTCACCTAATTTTAAGGGAATATAAAAATAATTAATTAGGTAAAGTTATATGTTTAAAAAGTCAATATGAAAATAAAATTTGATATTAATTGTATGAATTTTTTTGTAATATTAATATATTAAATTTATAACTTAATTGTACGTATATTTTCTTAGAATAGGTGAAGAAGTTATATTAATATATATATATATATTTGTCTTATATTATAAAGTAGTTAGAACTTACATTAAAACCAAACTATTAGCATTTTTATTTCAACATTATGTGTGTTTTTGTTATGAATTGGTGGCATATAAATATGGTATCTTGAAATATCTATCTAAAAAGAAAATTGAATTAAGAATATATATCTAAACATATATATATATATATATAAAAGAATATAGGAAATTGGGTATAAGAGTTTCAATTATAATTTTAGCATTTTTAAAATTTTAGGACTTGTTAAATAAAATAAATAATAAATTTCACAAAATAGAAGAATTTGTTTCATTTTTTTATAAGATTTTTAAAAATTACAAACTAACATCCCTTAGATTACTTTAAAGTTTCATTCATCGAGAATTTTATAAAATATTTTTTTTTTCATTTTCAATTGAAACAATTGATATTTAGTTAGGTCATAATCAATTATATCATATTAGGTTGATTTGGCTTATAATACAATATTTGGAAAATGCTTATGATTTGGCTTCCAATCAATGCATAGCCACCCAGCATGATAGTATTCAAATTAATCAATCTTTCTTGGTATTTGATTGTAAAACCTCGCAAACCAATATAATTTTATCGACTATTCTCCTAAAATAAATGAAATTCATTAGGCTTATGCTAATTAATACTTCACAAAATAAAAATAATACTTTAGTAACATCACATTTAATATATATATATATATATATTATCAAATATTCACCTTTAAATTATAAATTAGAAAAAAAATTATACTAAAATATATAGTTGATAAAATTGTTATTTTAAAAATAAAATCTAACAATTGCACAAACAAAAAAAATATGAGTAAAATCTCGATAAACTTACAAAAAAATAGCAAGCAACACTACAAAATAATTTTTTTATAAGATAATAAAAATAAAATTGCAGTAAAATAAAGTTCGAGAATAGTCAAATTCAATTTGCTTAATATTCTTTTTAGAAGAACATTTGTATTTATATTATTATTAAAAAAATATTATCATAAATGCTTAATAAAAGACATGAAATTAATGAAATATTTCCTTCAAAATTACAATTTTGAATTCTTGCCTAATCTACTGTCTTTTTATAAAAAAGAAAACAAAATTTTTCCTAATTTAATTACATCATTATTGTCAACTCATTAAAAGACTGACTTTTATTTCCTAATTTACTATATTGAATTTCATTTAATTTTTCATAAGTAATAAGAAAATATGAAAATATATTCATAAGTAATTAGTTTTTTATTTAATTTATTTTTTTTATCTGTATCATTGATTAAATTATTTGTAACTTATTTACATAAGGTAAAAATATTGAATACTTAAAATGTAATAAATGTAATTAATTTAGTGTCACTAATTATTTTTTAAGTAATAAAAATATTACTATAAAAAATAATAAAAATATTTTAAATAAATAAAATACATTTATCATGACATGGTGATCTTTAAACCTTTCCATATGCTAAAAATATAAACTATCTACGTTAAATTATTTCATTTTTTATCAAAGGCTTTGATTTTTATATATTTATATAAGATATAAGATAAGATTCTATTTTAGTATATTAATAATAATCAAAATTAATATTCAAAAGCAATTATCTTAATTAATAAAGAGAGAAATTCATTTTTTATTATTAACTCGAAATCAATTTTTGTCTTGAACATTTTAAAAATAAAATTTTAGATACATAAAAAAAATCTCAAAATAAGTAATTAGATTAAGAAATATCTCTTACAGGAAACATATAATCAGTTTATTTTACTAAACCCGAGAGAGGGAAAAGCATGTATAGTAGTAACATGAAAAGGAGGAGACTGAAAACAACTAGAGCTTAAGAAAATAACAAAACAAAGTAAGGGCCGTGCCGTTACAAATTATGACCTAAGCCCGTGCAATAATGCGAAGCATGGCGATGCTTGAGGATTCTAGTAGGAAGGAGTAATAATAAATCGGATGGGGTTTAATTTAATTTTTTAAATAATATATAAAATTATAAAATTATAAATTATAATTTGAATTCAAATTAATTTTCATTTAAATTTGAATTACATTTTCATATGATGTAAGTAAAATTAAATTGAATTTTATTGATTTAGTTTAATTCAATTTAATAAAATTTTAAATTTAAATTTTTGTTTTTTAATAGTATTTTAATATAAAATTTAATATATTTAAATAGATTTAGGTATAAAATAATTATTTTTATTTTATACAAATTTAAAAAATATATAAAAATTAATAAAAATATATAATTCAATTCAAATTTGTTTTTATTTTTTTACTTTTTGATTCAGAATATAATATGACTTTAATTTACATATTTAATATTCAAATTTAAATTAAATCGAATAAGAAAAAAATCAATTCGAATCAAACTAAACACTATGATTTAGAATGGTTGTCCTAGTTTTTTTTTTGTCTTACTCTTAATTGTAAGTTATTTAGAGATGTAATTGAATCAAATTGATATAGTGAGAAGTTTGAGTTTGAGTTCAACATAAATTTCATGAGTTTAATCAAGTTTTAATTTTTAAATTTGAATTTTACTTGAGATAAAAATTAAATTACTCAGACCCACTTAATTAAACTCATTTATCAAATAAAAAATTCGATTCATATATTTAACTTCAAACTCGATTATTATATTCAAATTTAAACTTGAGATCGAATTGATAAATCTATATATTAAATTTAAATAATAATTTTAATTAAAATAATTAAAATATAAAATTTTAATTAAGTTTACAATAAAAATTATTTAAATCAAATATTATAATATTTAAATTTGACTAATTCAATAAATTAAACTACTTAAGTCTGAATTTAATATCCAACTCAAATAATTTTTATTTAATTCTCTCTTCATTTAATAGTGTTTCTAATATTATTTTTCATTTTGTAATATTGATAAATTATAATTTTTGATATTATATTAAAAACTAATATAAAACGTAAACAAATAAAAGTTACAATGGAAAAATAACAGAATGTTGAAACAATTCATAAAAAAAAAAAAGAATATTCAATTTAAGAGGGAAAGAATAAACGAAAATGATAATTAAAAAATATAAAAAAAAATTTGTCCCTATGGGCGACGGGCCTATATGTACAGCTTGTCATATGATATGACCTCACAATACTCTTTTTTTATTATTTCCTTCCATTTTATTTTTGTTTTTTTTTTCGAATAAATAATTTATTTCCCTAATAACTATTTAGCTTTGAAAAAAAAAAAAAAAACCTTGAGATTCCCCTTCCTCTCCCTCCTTTCTCCCAAATCTCTCTCTTTGCTGATTGCAAGTCCCTATATTCTCTCTTCATTTAATATGGGTTTTCTCCCCTTAATGTCTTAAACAACAGAAAAGAAAAAAATTTCTATTTTTCCTTGTTTCTTTTGAGTTTTCTGGGGTTTCTGTAATCTGGGTATTTCTGAAAATGGGGAAAAACCAAGCCTATAAGGCTATGCAAAGAGCCAGGCTTGGCTCTACCTCTGCAGGTCCTGAAGAGATCGATGATGGCATGGTTTGTACCCTTCCATATTCAAACAAAGTTTATTTCTTTTACATTTTTCCTTTATGGGTTTCTTTTAATTTATGTTAAAGTATTGTTTTGTATTATTACTTGTAGTTTTTTTTTTTTTTTCATTTGGGTACTTTCTGTTTGTTGATTTATTTCATTTTATTGATAGATGTGTTTCTTGGTGCTTCCAAAGTTTACATTTTTTTGGGTCTTTTAAATTCTTGTTGACTTATTTTGTATCAACTTATTAGTCATAATTTCTTGATAGGTAAAATTTCAAAGTAGTTGATTCAGTGTTGAAAGTTAGAAGTGCTTTAAAGAAACATTAATGTGAATCTATATCTAATTGGTCTGAGAATCATTGTGGTTAAGTCAAGAGTTTGATATGGTGGTGTAGATTGGTTATAATTTAAAAATGAATTCCTGTAAAGCATGAATGCATCCTGGTTCTGATGTTCAATAACATTCAAAGACTGACTCAAATTAATTCTTCAAGCAGGGTGTGATAGCGTATAGATATGATAATAAAAGAATATATTATTTGGTTTTGTATCTGTCTAATCTTGATTTGATGATGAGTCGTTCTATAATGGGAGTGTATGGTTTTGAATTCATTAGTATTTTTTCTTATTTCTAGGTTACAGATCAATAAATGTTATGCTTCTTATAAAATCATTCTAATTGCTACGAACTTGTTTTTGATCTACACCTATTAAGTCCTGTTGTTGCTTGATAGCTATTTTGTTTGCTAACTTGAGATTGTTGGATGAAGGACTTCAGAACATTGGCTGCAATTTGATTTTTGATGAAAATGTTTGCCCTCTTCTGTTTTTATATTTTGCAATGAGGTTGTAGACTTTTATTGGATTATCCAATGTGCTAGTTGCCTTCTGGATAATTTTTGTTTTCCAGAGCTTTTCTGATGAGGACAATCGCAGGTGGATGGTTCTTTTCATTCACCAGAGTGGCATGCTGCTCGTTTGGCCAGCCTTAAAACATCTCATACGGTTACATGGGAAGAGTTTAAAAAGAAACAAAAGGTAAGCTAGAGCAATATTTGCCCCTTGTTTCTCTCATATTAACTTGTTGTAAAAGTTGCTAAAGTATTTACAAATCGCTTTTTAATTGTATGAAGATGCATACCGAATGAATTATGTGTTTCTGTTATTAGACAAGCATATCAAATGTATATGTTGGAAAAATCATTCAGAACTGATTTGATTCCATTTTTTTTTTTTTATGTATTAACATACATTGCCTACTTAGTGATTCCAGTGACTAAATCTCTGAAAAATGATCCCCAAAAGATACCTACTTTCTCCTTAATTATGAGTTGTATGTAATGATGTTATTAATGTCTGTACAGAAAGAGAAAAAACTATATTAGCAGTTTATAAATTTGGCTATTTGTGCATTCAAGAAGCTTTCTTCTTTGCTTTTAAGTCTTTGCGAGTGAGTTAGTTGACCAAAATAATGTCCAAGTAAGCATTATTAGTCAATCACAACCATGCCTTAATGATACTAGTTCAAACATCACTAACTGAGCTGCATTGGACTCAGATTCGACAACTAAACACTAAGAAATTAAATCAAGAGCACAGATGAGGCACTATTTTGTACAGGTATCCCTTAAATTTGAAGGAGGAGTTTCTGTGTTGAACTTATTTGTTCATTTGCTAAATGTGGTGAGCATAGGGGTAATGTCTGTACTAATCTGGTAGTTAAATTGCATTGCTAGACCAGCAGTCTATTGGATTGTTATAAACAGCATGACTTGTAAGTTGGGGTGTAATATCACTTTGTGTATTTTGTTGATATGCTAGGAAGATGCGTTGAGAAAGGGGGAATTAGAAGCAGATACAGATCGACTGATGAGAGAGTATAGAGCTCAGCTAGACGCTGAAAGGGCACGCAAGCTTGCACATGGTAGAAACCACTCCAGCAGTAAATCTAGCCATAAAAAGGGTATGTGTAAAAGGCCTTAAAGTTGCGAGTCTTTTCATGCTTGTTTTATGGTTACTATCTATATTTCTTGCTCTCTAAGGGTGTTGAATTCATTGCAGATCGAAAAGACAAAGATGCAAAGAAATGCAGCAGCAGAAAGAGAAAGGTACTTGTAGCTTCTAACTACTTTATGGTTCAAATTTTATGTTTTAATTGCATATGAATTGAAAAGGGTCATGAAGTTGAGATTTTGATTTTAATGTGCAATTTATTTTTAGTTTTTTTCTCCTGCTATTCGTTACAAGATTAGAAGCACCATGGAAGCTCTGCGTCTATATTAATCACCTGTCACAAGGGAAGCTCTATATTCTACAAGGAAATCCCAATAAAAATTGTCTATGTTTGAGATAGGACTATATTTTCTGAACCCTGGTTGTGAAAGTTTAATGCAACAACTTGGGAAGTGGTTGTCGTGTTTTGAAGTTTAAAGACATAATGTGTAAAGGAGACTCATGGTGGCTAAATGTGGTGCTACTTGGTATTGAGTTTATTGCAGAAGTGTCAGATAGTTGGATGAGTTTGCTTATTATGTAACTAATGAGGTTATTGATTGTGGGGATGAGTGTGCTTATTATTTCATTTCCAGACCAGTCTATTGCTGAGACAAAAAGATTCTTTGATTTCTGGCTACTTGTGCGGAGCAGGCAATAATAAAGGAATGGCATATGATTTATGAGAAAGCCACTCTGGGTTGGGAATTGGACAGTATCCAAGCAGAGGGTCTCTTATGCTGGAGAGTGGAGACAAGCGGGGAAATAAGTTGTTGAGTTCTTATTTGAAGTGTTTTAGATGAAATTAGGAAAGACAGCCTTGGAGTGTGTGATGGATCCTCTAAGCATGGAAGGCGGCAGCATTTCAAGGTGAAAATTTAGTGAAGAGCAAAAAAATTACTGTTATACGTCAAAAGCTGAAGAAATTTGTGCAGTCTTCTTATGATTTCTGTTTACGAGGCTTTCTGTTTTTGGTAAGTTAGGCTGGGAAAGGCTAGGTAAAGTTTGGACATATTTAGAAGTCAGCACAGTAGGGCACTGGTGGCTAGTATGGTTTTATGGACTCTTCTCTTTGATGGTGCATATGGGAGGGGAGGATCCAATAAATACTTGATTGAATCTTTTATCTGGTATGGTAAGAACATTATTTATGTGGCTTGTGTTTTGGTGAATATTTCTTGTCTTTATTGGACAGTTTTTATGTCTTGGAAATCAGATATTTAGCTGTAATAGTAAATGGTACAGAAGCATGGTATGAAGCAAAACCCAAATTGTATTATCCCCCCCTATTATTATTGTCATGAAAATGTGAACTGAATCACACTCATTAAACCTTGACTTATGCAGCGTTCAAGACGGAGGTCTTCTGACTCTAGCTCCTCCAGTTCATCCTCGGAATCTCCAAGCAGTGATGATGAAGGGAGAGACTCAAGAAGATCGAAGTCCAAGTCTAAGAGAGATAAGAAAAAGAAGCACAAATCAAGAAACAAGAACTCAAGCACTGACAATGAAGAAGCTGAAGGTCCTGTGCCACTTTCAAGATTTTTTGAGAATGTGAAGAGTTAATGGCATGAGAAAGATACTGTTTATGTACTTGATACAGACTCCCTGCAGTAGAAAATAATTTTTCTCCCATCCTTTCTGAATTAAGAGCTTGTGCCTTTGTTTTTCTACGTTAGTTGGCGTTTGATTTCTGCTTTCTGCATTTCATTAACTTTGATCAATCGTATGATATGGATTTGTTGAAACCTGTTAAATTTCTTCCACCAATCTCTCTTTCTAGCCCGATTGCATTAAAAAGCATTCAATGGTACTCCTGAAGTAGGCCTTTGGACTCATAATTATTACTGCTAACATACGACATGATATAATTGATCATCTGTAGAGTAGCCATTGACGAATTTAAGTGGTGAGAAACAGTGTTGCTTCATGTCAATTGTTGACTCCAGTTGTACCTGGCCGCTGGCCCATCTTAACATTATGGGCTTGTAGACAGGTGGTTTTAACGGGTCTTCTATTCCTTACTTGTCAACAGCATCCAAGTATCAGCATCACACTCAACCAAGATTCTACAAGCATGATCGACAACATGATATCATGTAACTGAGTCAATGTTACATGCATGCCAAGTATATCTTCACTTCTGACACATAATAGATCGCCAGTAATGGAAAAACATTTAAAGAGGTCGACCCGAAAAGCTGAAACTTTGATTGAGTCCTGCCTTTACAAAGAAAGAAGGGAGGAGGCTGTACGACGAAAGGAGCTACACTCGATTATGAATGTCTTGGAGATTCAACAGATAGAACAACAAAAGAAAACAAGACAGCCCGTACAAACACCAATACAACTGTTATTGTTTCCTGCATTCTGCCCATAATTGAATATCTCAGTTCAAGAACCATCCTGTTCTGGATGGAACATATATACAGGAAGAAATAAATTACCAAAACATAAAGCATTTTAACCACACTGATCAAAACCACGATATATAAATGGCAGATGGGTCATCACGGCTGCATATATTGCGGGTTGAATGCAAGTGCCTCCTGGTATATCAGCTCCTTCATCTGCTCCTCGGTTAATGCATGCTGCTCAAAGTCAAAGTTAAAGGGGGTCATGCAGTCAGGCTCATCACTTATGTCATGCAGTGACGTTAGGTAGGGATGAGCAAGTGCAGCCTCAACTGCAACAAACAGGAAGTAGTATACATGAGTTCCAGCTCAGAATAAAAAATGATAAAAACTGAAGAGACTGCAAGGCCGAATCAGCAAGAGAAAGACTACAACAACTATCCTAAATGTGACCATTTTGCATGCGCTGGCAAACTTTTGCCAGAAATTGTGAAAAAGTGTAACACAAACTGAATAATAAATGATGTGCCGCATAACAACAAGCACATGCATGAGAGAGAGAGAGAGAGAGAGAGAGAAACACCTATTCTTTTGCAACAAACTCACCGGTAATCCTTAGTCTGGGATCAAATGTCAACATCTTTTCAACAAGATCAATAGCTAAAGGGTGGACATTTGGAAACTTTTCAGTGAAAGATTGTCTGCGATAAATAGGAAGTTGTTGAATGTATCTCCTAGCATTGTCATTCAAAATCTCCAACTCAGCCTCTGATGGGGTACCAATCAGCTGCAAAGCAAAAGAGTTCATTATTCATGGTGCAATATTACAGGAATTTTTTAGTTTACCATATTTTTCCCTAAAATGCTCCTGGCACCCCATTTAGCAACTTATTTGTTTGTATTTAGACAATTTCATATTGGTCGGAGGATAAGATCTAAGAAGAATTAACCTCCATAAGCAACCGCAGCTGATGCACATGATCTCTACCAGGAAATAATGGCTTCCGATCCATTAATTCCATAAAAATGCAACCAACTGACCATACATCAATGGCAGCAGTATAATCTGAAGAGTGTAGCAACAGTTCTGGTGGACGGTACCATCTTGTAACAACATATTCTGTCATAAAATCACTTTCAGAGGTAACACGAGCCAGTCCAAAATCACATATTTTCAAGTCACAATTAGCATTTAGGAGGAGGTTGCTAGGTTTTAAGTCCCTGTGCAGAACATTTGCAGAGTGTATATACTTCAGCCCCCGTAAGATTTGATAGAGGAAATACTGCAAAGCACAAAGAAACGTGGTTAACTATAGTGTGCTCAAGTGGTAACACTTAAAACATGGGCGCTTTAATTAACTTAATACTGTTCGGCTGTTGCTTTTGTTACTTGGTTTTTCCTTCCAGAAGCAAAAGGCAAAAAACACGTTTGGGAACAAAAGCAAACAATATTCTTGTCAAATTTTAAACTGAAAATGTGATTTAAAAATAAAAGAAAGAAAAAATTTTCTTGTATATAGAACAACTGTGTTTAGAAATGGTGTTGCTTTTTTAGTCATTTGTTAATTTTTAATCAATTACCAATTGCTTCTACTTTGATAGTTTACTATCTAGAACAAAAATCTTGATAGTATTTAAATTACTTGAACTATGCATGTGTGAACAAATAAAACTTTCATTTAAATGAGAAGAAGTTTAAGGGTTACCTTATTTTTTACAATTATGTTTTCTTTTGAATTATATGAATCAACTCAACCCTAGGAATGAAGCCTTGGGACCTTAAACTTGAAATCTAAGAAAATCAAGGGAGAAGGCTTTGATGTCTGTCTTTTTTGCTTATTATTAGAATTTCAGGAATCATTCAGATCTAACATCAACCCTGAACCATTTCCTTTGAAGTTGGACCCTAGCAAAACCATCTATGCAAGCATAAAGTAACCCACATCAATTGGCCCTAAAAATAACCTTTAAATCAAGGTCATTGTTCATGGGTACCAGGCACTTACACTTACAAAACTTTGAACTTCTCAATCCAATATTAATGCTATAGCATATTACTTAAGAAACCTTATTTTCCACAAGTTTACTCTTTTTTCCCTCTAATAAGCATAGATGTTTGCTTTCAAACCCTAAATTGCATGCCGGCCCAATGAAGCAACAATTTTTTGACAATTAGAGGCTTGAGGAACAATAGGTAGCTCTCTAAAAGCCTAGGAAATTTCTCTATGCCATATTTGTCAAGTGAAATTTTACCAATTCAATGAAGTACGAAGGAAGAAGAAAATCCCTATACAGGGCTAAAGCTTTGCTTGAAGGGAGCAAAATTAAGAATCTAAATTAACATGGTCAACTGGAAATAGCTGTAACATAAAAACTTTAACTAGTAACTTAAGGAATATGAGTCAATCATAAATTGCATCCACATGTCTATATTCCAACCTGACAATGCTCTTCAGATAAAGCTTGATTAGAACGGATTATCTGATGCAGGTCAGTGTCCATCAGCTCATATGCAATATAAACATCATTAAAGCATTCCCTCTGGGGTGGTGGAATTATATCCCTGATTGCAACTACCTGCATGAAAGGTGCAAATGAGACTAACTCACAATGATAACAAATAAGATACTATTCTTCCTAGATCTCTCTCACTTTCTATATTTGTGTGCATTCACAATGAAAGAAAAAAGAATTGGCACAAAGAAAGAACATGATATAACCAAACAATTTCAAGGTTTACATGGTAAGCTAAGGTTTAAATAAAAATCACCAGCGATAGCATTAACAAACACAAATCTGACAAAAATTTTCATTGACCTGAACAACCAAACAACCAAATTCAGCCCAGACAAGTCGTTATATAGATATTATTTATATTTAATAATCAGATTAGTGCAGCCACTGTTAGATAGAACAACACTGTTTTAAAACTTAGAAGTACAATTTTAGCTGAGGGATTTGAGGCTTTTTATTAGTAAATATGATCCAACATTCAGATCTAAAAAGGAAAAAGAAGCACTGCTGGGGTTACTTAGAAAAGATTTTACTTTTTGTTCTTCACTTAGGGAAGGTTCCTGAATGCTGTATGACAGCAAAAACTAATACTTACCATAACAATCCTCCTATTCAATCATTAACAATATAGAATGAGGAACGTGGTAAAATGGACGACACTGATGAATTAGATAAGCGACTTTCATATGAAAAAATACCTGAGCATAGCTCATAACTAAACATCAAGACGTTATTAACTGTAACCCTGTTAGATTTTCACCTTAAGGTTTATTTAAATGATTGGTGAGTGAATACTCATACGTTGCCCCGACTTTTTTTTTCCCTGAAGCACCTATGTCAACTACCTATTTCGGACACATATCCAACATCCCAAAATAAAATGGAAATAGGGTTCTGATTTTTCACTCAAGTACCTATGTCAGACACATCCAACACCCCAAATTGGAAATGGAAATGGGTTATGGCCTTTCTGAATATCAGAAAAAGAAAAAAAAACTGAAAAAATTGAATGCACCCATGTCAAGACACTCACTCCAAAGGGTATAATCGAGTCAAGCCGAGTTGATATAGTGAGAAGCTTGAGCTTGAGTTCAACTTGAAATTTGTTGCCCGAAACTCAGTTGATCTCGATTAAGTTTTAAATTTCAAGCGCGAGCTCAACTCGAGATAAAAGTTGAGTTACTTAAGCTTGCTTGATTAAGCTTGTTTATCAAATAAAAAAATAGCTTGATTTCCATACTCGACTTTAAGCTTGATTATTTGTATTTGAATTCAAACTCAAATTCATATATATATATATATATATATATATATATATAAGGTTAAAATAATAATTTTAAATTAAAATAATAAAAAATATATTAAAATATTAAAATTCGATTAAGCTCGTCAGCTACTAAGTAAGAAGCCCGAACTTGGCTCGTTGAAGCTCAACTCGACAATGATCGAGCCGCACGAATAGCTTGCAGTAGTGATCTCAGTCCCAAGTCCGAGTAACAAAGCCATTGACAACATTAGAACAACAAAACAGAAAATAAAACCAAACACAGAAAAAAATCACTAACAAATGGATTGAAGTGAAAGCAAGTAAAAAAAACCCAAAAAAAAAAAAATCCACTCACTGACGTTTTCATGATCCATGTGACGAAGCAGCTTGATCTCACGAAGAGTTCTCTTCGCATCAATCTTGTTATCAAATGCATTCGCTATCTTCTTTAATGCCACGTATTCATTTGTCTCAGAGTTCAATGCAGAACTAACCCAAATAATCGAAAAAAATTCATAATTCAATAATAAACAAAAATCAATTTAAATAGATAATCAAAAGAAGAAGAAGAAGAGTTACCAAACGATGCCATAGGCGCCTTTACCGATGGGCATAATAGGGGGTTTATATTTAGCAGTGACCTCAAAAATGTTCCCAAATATATTATACTGAATAAACCTGCCGCCATGGCTGAGAGTGGCCGGAATATTTTCCATCCCGGCGGCCATTTGCGGCGGCTGTTTCTGGTGGTGTTGTGGGTCGGGTTGCTGCGACTGAGCTGCCTCCGCCATCTCGGTATCCGCCGCCTGAGGGGGTCCTCCGCCTTCCATTTTTGCTGAAATATAGAAAACAAATTAGGGTTGGAAGTTATTTTATTCGTCACTGGAAAAAAATTTTTTTTGCGTGAAATTTATTTTCTGCAGATGAGTAACTGGTGTTGGCCGGCAATTATCAAAAAAGGAAAACTGGGGCTGGCGTGTTTTATCCTTATCTTTTTTTTTTTTTAACAACTTTTCTTGTTTTCTGTTTATTTTTCTTTTAAAAAAAAATTACTTTTTCCCATAGTGGGAAATTTTTTTTTGGGAATTTTGAATGAATGGTAATTATAGTAAGATTTTTATTTTTTTTACTAGAAGTAGCTATTCCGTTCGTTATAATAGAGTGAAATATTTTTCTGTCAAAATTTATTATTATTTAATATATTTATAATTATTTTAATATATAATTTAATAAAAATATTATAATAATTTTCATATAAAATACAAAACATTATCTTTCTATAAATAATCATAAAAACATTTTCGTAATTATAAGTAAAAGTATTATAATAATTTTGTTAATTATGGTAAAAAATATTTTCATGATTATAATAAAAATATTATAATAATTTTGATCAATTAAAATAAAAAATATTTTCATAATTATAATAAAAAATATCATAATAATTTTCATTAATTATTAATAACTTTGGCTTATTTATTAGTTGAATTTTATTAAGAGGTTGTTAAAAAATAATTTTCATGAATTTATTAAATTTAATGTAAATAAATTTTTTGCAATTAATTCATAAAAAATATATTGAGCATAAAACTTTATAAATTTATTAAATTAATATAAATAATTTTACTTAATACGATATATAAAAACAATTTGAAGAGAGAATATACTAAACAAAGAATTGTTGTTTAAAAAAATCTAGACACAAAAAATAAAATATATTATTAAAATAATTGAATGGCTATTTGTATATTCTATTATAAACTTTAATACACTAACATAGAAGCAAATTAATTTGCAAAACAAAAACATAGAAGCAAATTCATTTTAAATTATTTTTTTATATATATGTCACTTCATTTTTAATAATGCAGACAATTTATAATATATAAAAGACTAAAAAGTATAAAATATTTTTAAATTATTAATTAAAAAATTTAAATATTTATTATGTTATAATTAATTAATTTTTTATATTTATTTGAATGAAAGATGATTAATTTTTTGCTATTTAAGATAAAATATTATATAACATCAATAAAATTAATGAAAATTTAGCATATAACATAATTGATATATATAAAAATTAAATAAAATATATATTTTAAAATTTATTTAAAGGTTTAATTGATTATAATTTAAAAATTAATTGATTCAATTTTATCAAGTAATTTAATTTCTTTCAATTATATGTTTAATTAAATAAAAAATTAAAAATTTAAGTATTTATAATAAAATATTTAAAACTTAAATAATTATTGAGTTATAATTTAGGGCATATTTTGCCTTTTTATCTTATACAAAAATAAACAGCAAAAATGAAAATAGCACAACTACGTCGTTTCCAAAATCAAGCCTTCCACTTTCCTTGTTCACCCAGCAGCCGCACCTACTTTACTTCCGCTCGTTTCTTTTCTTTTCCCGTGTTTACCTTTCTTTCTACTTCATTATTTCTTTCCGGCAACTTACCACTGGCGCAGCGGTGTGCTGCTTTCGATTTTCTCTTCTTTAATGTTCTGCCGCCAGTCTCTTTATTTTGGTATTTCAAAATTTCGCTTTTGAGTGTCTGAAGAGGCAGCGGTTTTTCTCTTCTTTGTGGGAACAAAAAGAGAGAAATGGAAAGCAACAAAGAGAAAACAATGGACGACGTCGGATCCGTAGTTGAAGCTATATCCGCTAACGATGAAATCATGGCTGAGGCTCCTCTTTATGAAGTCGAAAGCCTCTGCATGCGCTGCACCCAAAATGTAATTCCATCTTTTGATTTTCACTTCATAATTTTCAGTTCAAGTGATTTGAATTTTTGTTGACAGGGAACAACTAGGTTTTTGTTGACTTCAATTCCGCACTTTAGAAAGGTAAATCAATATCAAAGTTTTAAACTTTTCTTTCCCTTTGTTTTATTGGTTGATTTTTTTTCTTTTTTAGTAATTTGTGCTTTTGGCTTGCAGGTCTTGCTCTCAGCTTTTGAATGCCCGCATTGTGGTGAAGGGTAATCTCATTTTTGCCTACTACATACTTAAATTGATTTTTTTTTTTTTTTGGAAAGGTTTGATATTTTTTCACGCTTCTATTTGTTTATATTAGGAACAATGAAGTTCAGTTTGCTGGTGAAATTCAACCTAAGGGATGTCATTACCGTTTAGAGGTCCAATCTGGAGATCAGAAGGTTGTCCTTTCTACTTGACTCTGATAAAAATGTGTAATGCTTTCTTCATGTTTTATATTGTTTCATGTGTCTTGATGCTTTATCTATTGATTTGATGAAGAACATTGCCATACTAATTAGTCTCTTTAATGTAGATATTTACTCGACAAGTGGTGAAATCTGAGTCTGCCACCATAAAGGTACATTATCTTTGCAATGTTCATGAACCCAATTTTAGTTTTCTGCCTATGTTGTGTTGATGATCAGTTTTATTTTTTCTTCTTGTTGTTTGTGTGTTTGCTATGTTTGAAATAGCAGATGAAATATTGGAATGGGAAATTTTCCACTGATGGGTTTTTGGAGATGTTAAGAGCTTAAAGTTGGATAAACGCTGAGACTTATATTTGTTTTATTTTATTGAATGATCTTATCGGCAAAAATGGGTTTGATGCAGCAATGTTGTCAACTATGTTGTTTTCCTATTTCATTTTTCAACAAATTACTTCCATTTTTTATTTAATTTATTCTTATGATTATCATTCTGAGGAGTGAATGTTAGGCATTGGTATATGTGTGTGTCAGGTGCATTTAGTTTTTCCTTATATTTGGACAGTGATCTCTTCTCACTTTATCAAGATGTGTCTAATATGGATACTTAAAGAAAAATTTAGTTGGAGCAACTTAGTTTCATTTGATGATGAACCTTATTAGCCCATTTGAATTAATGTTGTTAACAAAATCGTGTTCTTTTTTTGTTTTTTACCCATTGTTTATACCCACTCGTTGGACACTTTACTTTGTTTTCCCATTCTTAGAGTGACATAAGCTCTAAACAAGTACATCTCTATCTACCAAAACAACTGCAAATTTTGCAAAATAGAACATTTGGCCTACACAACATATGAAAAGTTTGTAGCTTTATCTTAAAAACCTAGGATTTAGCAGATCATATGCCATGATGCCTTTTATCTTATCTGGTTTGTTTCTTCATGTAGATCCCTGAACTGGATTTTGAGATCCCTCCTGAGGCTCAACGTGGAAGTCTGTCAACAGTATGTACTTCAACTCTCTTGCCTAATAGGTTTATGCATTAGTTAGCTTTTGAGTGGTTCACACAGCCACCTGTTTATCCACTCTATCTCTTTTGGGTTTTTTCCCTCCCTCTTTTTGTTTTTGTGACCAACTCAGATACTGTGTAATGGTTTTAGGTGGAAGGAATATTAGTACGCGCTATAGATGGATTGCAAGCCCTTCAAGAAGAACGCAAGGTTCATTTTGTGATTGATTTCAAGTGTTGCTTGATGTTGTGTAGTTTTTGGTACTTTACATGATTTTCTTTTGCTGGACAGAAGGTGGATCCTCAAACTGCTGAAGCAATTGACCAGTTTTTATTGAAGTTGAGAGCTTGTGCAACAGGAGAGTCGCCCTTTACCTTCATCCTGGATGACCCTGCAGGAAACAGCTTTATTGAGAACCCGTAAGAGAAAAAATTTTAATAGAAAAAGCTCAATTTTAATGAATTTTTAATGTTTATGTTATGGCCTTATGCTTTAGGCATGATGGGTGGTTGACATGAAAAGCAGTTGCTTCCATATGAATTATCAAAGTTTATCCCCAGGAAAAGAATTGAAGAATTTAAGTTGCTTTTTTTGCTGTTATTTCATTTGGATTAGAAAACTTAATTGACTAGCACTTTTGGTTGGATTTGCTTCAGGTTTTAACTAAAAACCTTTTAAATCTTAAGTTGGCTTTATTTTAGCTTAGATTAGAATATTCTAATGTCATCAGGTTTGCTCCATCTCCTGATCCATCGTTGAGCATCAAATTCTATGATCGAACTCCAGAACAACAAGCATCGTTGGGATATCTTGTTGACCCATCACAGTTGAATGAGCCTGCTGCTGGTGCATCTATGGAGGAAGCAAGCAATGATGTTGATCAGATAAGAAGACAACCACATGGATCAGTAGGAGCAGCAGCTGGTCAAAGGGCTATTGCTCAGAGTAATAGTGCTGAAATTGCTGAGGCTTTATTCCAATACTCTGCACCAGAAGAGGTAAGCCAATTTCAACTGTTACATTATATTGGATTCATGGGGATAAATAAAAGAACCAAATTAAGAAGGAAGTTGAAGAAAAGTGATTTTAAGTGAAATGCAGTTTCCTTTTAATTGTTTTAATTCCAAAAAAAAGATGGGGGAGGGAGAGAAAGATGCTTTTGCAAATAATAGAAAATTTCAGCCTTGTGTTATTATTAAAATTAAGGATACGGTGGTGAAATACAATATTCTAAGAATTAATGGTGAAATACAATAATCTAAGTGTCTGGTTCAATTTGGTGTCACAGTACCCCAGTTTTTTTTTTTTTTTTTTCTGAATTAGTTTGTATTTTTATTCAACTAGGTAATTTTTTCTGCCTATCTATTTTCCCTCTCTCTCTCCACCCCTTCCTGTTTATACATTTTAAAATTTATACTGTCCTACCTTTGCAACCCTATTTTTCTATTTGAACTTTGAAAGTCTTTGATGTTAAAGGAAATATATATATATATATATGTATGTATGTATGTATATATATTTTCACTTGCATGGTGTCCTTGATGCTTTTTGTATATGGCTGCATTAGTCTGTTGCATTTCTCTCCAACCATCCCCAGTTCTGGAGACTTAGAAATGGGTTTGAACTTTGGAGAGAAATTGAATGGTATTGGCATTTTGTCCTCTTCTTTTCACTTCTCTCCTAAATGTTGCTATCCTCATGAAAAAAATTTTACCCCTCTATTTAAACACACTTAATTTTTCTGTGTATTAGGATTTAGCTTTTTGTCTTGAATTTTCTTTTTTCCTATTTTTTATATTACTTGTTTCCTGCTTTCAAATAGGTGATGACTTTCCCGTCAACATGCGGAGCTTGCGCTGCTAGGTGTGAGACTCGGATGTTTGTAACCAGTATCCTACCTAATATTTTTTATGATTGCATTTCTGGCAATATGATATTTCTGCTTCGTGTTTTGCTCCAGTTTTAGGGCTATAAATAATGGCATATCTGTTTGGCAAGTTAGAAGTTTCATCTGCTTTGCATTTCCAGCAATATGATATTTCTGCATCATGTTTTGCTCCAGTTTAGGGCTATAAATAATGGCACATCTGTTTGGCAAGTTGGTAGTGTAATCTATTTCCAGCAATGATTTTGATTAAAAATGCATATTTGTTTGTCTGTTGTGCTTCCAAATTTTCATCTTGCTCATATGAAGTATGCAAGTTATACATGTTTGAAATTGTTGATGTGTTGCTTTACCGTGGGAAATGTTTTCTTCATTTGAGTGATGCACTGGTGAAAATAGAAATGCTTGTACAAGCACTCAACTTTCCTCAATGCTTTGAACAAATTTGAAGTTCTAGTTTTGCTTTTTGTGCATAGCTGACATTCAGGAGAAAATTGAGTTAAATAATCCTGATTTTAGTTAAATAAATTACATATGTCTGATTTCTCCCTCTTTTTTTCCCCATTTCTTTACTTGCGTTAGAACATCTTAAGCTATCAATACTAAATCTCAGTTTACTTAAAGATAATCCATGAATATCTACATTTATATGGTAGACCTTTATCACTTAACTGAATTTATCCTCATATGTTAGCAATTCCAGAAGGTTGATTGAAAGGTGAAGTAGATTCTATTCGTAGAGAGTTAAATTTATTGCCAACATATGTGTTGATCCTTTTTATTGAGATGGAAATATGCATGCATCTGAGATGTCTTCTCTGCAGTAATGATTTAATGATACATATATCTTATTTTATGGTCACTAGGAGCACGTATTCCCCCTCCTGGCCTGACCATAACTTAGTTAAGGACTTGGCAATCTTCTTGTGAAGCCTGTTCATCTGCATTATTTGTGCTCATATCATGGTGTCTTGCAAAGTTTATCTATAATTTTTGTTGAGCTTAACCATGTACAGGGATTCCATATTTTCAAGAAGTTATTGTCATGGCATCCACTTGTGATGCTTGTGGCTATCGAAGTTCTGAGGTTGGTGGTAATTTTACTTTTATTATGTTTTTATCTCCTCTAAGTTAGTGTTTGTTAACCATGCTTACCTTGTAGTTGAAGCCTGGTGGGCGAATTCCTGAGAAGGGAAAGAAACTTACCCTGCGTGTGGAAAACTTTGATGATTTAAGCCGTGATGTTATAAAGGTTTGTTCTGATTGTGATCTCAATATCATTCTTTTTAGGTGCATTGCAATAATGACTAGCTTCTCAATAAAATAGTGCATTTTCTAATATTCTGGTATTCGTTAGCGTAAATTAATTATATATTTACATACCAAAACAATGGTTTTTTTTTTAATCATATCTTCCCTATCCAACAATCAAATCTTTTTGTTTTATTTTTTATTAGGGTTGATTGTCTATTAAATCCACTAAAGGTATTTTGTAAATAATATTGAGTTAGTCATAATAGTGATAGAAATGATTGCCAGAATTTAGATATATTGATTAAGAGAACACTGAGCCAGAGGATGAAATACTATTATTTTAATTGAGTATTCAGAGTTTAGATCCTTGTGGGTGTAATGTGCAGATGTATATCTACTGTCTAAGCTATATTTAGGCTAAAGCATACTTCTCTCCGGGGAGGGTGTAGCAGCAACTTGTACAAGTTGCGGACTTCTAAGATTCTGATGGGTTGTGAGTGTTCTTGCCTGAGGAAGAGGTGAAATGAGGACCTGATCATTGATAATTTGTGGTAATTTGTAACAGTGATATAGGAAAGCTAGGCAGGTAGGTTTAAGACAGTTTTCTAATCTGAATACAAAAGCAAAAAGAGAAGAATCTATCCCTAAGCTTCAAACATATGGTTCCTTGGTTGCATCATATAATGACAAAAAGGAAACCTAGGCGTCACACCTTGGATTCGTAAGGAATCACCCCTAAAGGTTGATTATCTTCATGACATTTGTCCTTCAATTGATACCAGTACATTGATATTTATATAGGCTCTTGTCAATCCTAATACTAAGACAACTAGAACTCCTATTCCAAGTAGGACTTTTGGCAAAAAAAGAAAAGAAAATGCTTGTACTCCAAATAGAAAACTAACAAACTTTACCTAACAACAAAACCAAATAGGATAAGGAAAATCCGTGCTAAACCCTAATAGAAATGTGTAATATACCAAATTTGCCCTACACCTATAAACTATTAAAATTAGGCCCCATAAATACGCCAAAAGTAACAAAATAAAATCTTAAATTGACCCCTAGCTTCATTGCATTCTGCATCAAGGAGTCTAGAAACCATTCTTAGATATCATCATGATCTGAAGAGACAGAACATTTGTGAGTTATGAAGGGTTTCTGAATTCTTACCTGTATTAAATTATTGTTGATGTTATAGCATGGAATTAGGCTGGGTCTTGAGACTTTAATCTAGTGTGATTAGTGTAACTGTGTTTTGTTCTAGTTCTGGTGCCTGTAGATGCTTGATAAGCAGAGCTTATGGCATGTTCTTTTTAAAGCTATTTTATTTGGGGTAAGTTATAGGATGAATATGGCCCTTTTAAATTCAAATTCACTCCAGGGAATTATTGTTGGAAATAAATTTCACAGCTGTAACAGGTGCTATTAATGCAGTATTGTGGTCGTTAATGCAGTTTATGTGCATTTAGCAATTTAAAGTAACATTATTATCATCATAGTCCCCATCATCATCACCATAATTTTCTGCTATTATTATTACGTTGGTTTTCAACTTGCCCTCATACATGTAATTCACATTTCATGGGATGGAGAGGACATGTCTTTCTCTTGTTATTTTTTCTGTGCTTATGGTAAGTTATCTAACAAACATCTTGTAAGTGTATCAGTCGGATACTGCAAGTGTAAGAGTCCCAGAACTTGACTTGGAGCTAGCTAGTGGCACACTTGGTGGGATTGTTACAACAGTTGAAGGTTTGATTACAAAAATTAGTGAAAGTGAGTACTGCTTTACTTTTTTAGTTTCTCCATGTTAATTTTCTGTTTGCTTTCTGATTCTGTTATTTATAGTCCTCTTCCTTCATTGTTTGCTAAGTTTGAGCATTTCACCCCTGAATGGTTCACTTCTCAACCTGGTTTGGTTTTGTTCCAAAACAGAGTGAGGCTAGATTTTCTCTTTGCTTTCTGATTCTGTTATATATAGTCTTCATCCTCCGTTGTTTGCTAAGTTTGAGCACTTCACTATGGAATGGCTCTATTTCCAACCTGGTTTAGATATATAGAACACGGAGGCTAGTTCGTTACTATGTACAGCCTCCATTTCTTCACACAGCTAAAACTTTTGTTTCATTCTGTTGTTTTATGCCTATTATTCCTCCAACTTCCCTCTGTTTGCTTTCACATTTGTGCTTGATGTCCTTGGTCAAGTATCACTACCTTATGTCTTCTATTTGTATGTGTTTGGGAAAAAAAAGAAGGGTGGGGGGAAATGGGAAGATGTGTGAATGAGGCTTTAGTCCTCTATCTCATGCATATTAAATTGTAACCTTCATGATCTCTATGTACAGGTCTTGAGAGAGTGCATGGATTTACTTTTGGAGATAGTCTTGATGAATCTAAAAAAAACAAGTGGCTAGACTTTAAAGCAAGATTGAACAAGGTACCATATGAACATTGCCTCTGTTGCACATTTCATGTAATGTGAGTGCATAAAGTATCAGTTGATTTCAGGTCCGCCTCAGTCAATATGCCTGTATACTATTTAAATTTCCTGTTAAATATCTATATATGTGTGCTTTGTCATTTAATAACTCATATTGAAATACAAAGCATCATATTCATAATAGTGGATTACTCAGTGTATTTAAAATGCAAGTATAGATTGAGATGTATAGCAGTAATAACAAGCAAAATTAGTGACAAAGATTACTGCCTCTTCTTCCTCGTATCACTTTCACTTAAACAACACGTATGATCCATGTGTTTGTTCTTGTGTTTTTGCTTTATGTACAGGGGAAGGATAGAGACATATTTTGCTGTGTTCTTGACATTTTTTTCTTGAAGAATGAGACAAACATCAAATGACCAGTATAAGTGTACATATTTATTTCTTGAAGAATGAAAATCTTAACCTTATTCTTCTCACAGAGGAGTCTTCTTTGCTATTTTGCAGATTTTGAGCATGGCGGAACCATGGACTTTAATTCTGGATGATGCATTAGCTAACTCTTTTATTGCACCGTCAACTGATGATATTAAAGATGACCATCAGTTAATTGGTGAGTTCTCTCCTGCCAATCTTGATAAAGAACTGCTGTCCATTGTTCTCTTTTTTTAATAATTTTTTTTTGGACTTGTGGACGGACTGTTTTATTAGAAAGGAACTTCCTCATTGGTTTATTTCTGGTTCTGCAATGATCATTGTGATGGCATTTTGCATTTTATATGCTTTTTAGTAAGAAAATCATTTTTTTTTGTACAATAAAGAAAATCAAATTGGGAGAATATGGAAAAGAAAACTGCCTGTTATTCAATTGCGGTACATCAGGAACCATTAAATGTATCAATTTCTTTGGCAGTTTTCTACTTCAGGCTCATTCTTATTTTTGTTTCTCTTTATGGTTTGGATTCTCATGGGGCATTTTAATTTTTAGTTTCTGTATAATTTTAATAAAAAGGGGTTAGGGGAACAAACAGGGAAAATACGGCATGTATTGAAGGAAAGAACAAAATTTGAACCGAATTTCAGGGCCTATACTTGGTTCTCTTTATGAATTTATTCTCACAAATAATTTGGTTTGTTTCCTTTGTACATTTAACAAACTGGATTCTTTCTGCAGTTGAGGAATATGAGAGATCATGGGAACAGAATGAAGAGTTGGGTCTCAATGACATTGACACCTCTGCAGCTGATGATGCATACAACTCAAGGGGGGTGACATTGAAGGAGAAAACAGAAGAGTAAACTCCAATGATCTGTGTGAAAGCATTGGTCGTTTTCTCTTATTTAACCATTGCATGTGTTCAATGGCAACGGTTTTGAGTAGACTATTCAGACTGGCTGCTGGAACAATGTGTTAAAAAAGATTGGAGCCAGATTGCAATTTTGAGACCTTATACTTATGACTGTAAACTATACTGTAAAACTCTGGCTGAAGTGACTAAATTCTAGAATTGGATTTGATTTGATGTTACTGCTTGTCATTCATATATTTTTAGGGAGTTACAGTTTTCTTGGCCAAAGTATTGTTGGCTGTTTTACCTATGAAAACATGAGGAAATAGAGGAAATGACAGAAACCAAGTTCATTTGGATGTGTGGTAAGAGAACACTTATCGCAGTGCTACCGCGCATGTTGGATCCTTAGAGATCCAGTCATTATTGATCAAGAATGCCCAAAATGAATGAAAGCTCTTCTAAGTTATATAATAGTACAAATTTCCCTCTCTGAAAGACGTGTATATTTTCCAGCATCAATAATCTAAGACACCACTATTCAAATGGTGATCAACAGGTTTTGCTTGTTCTCTTCTTACGCCACTAGTAGCATGAACTTTCTTGTACAAGGCCTCAATGTTATCCGCCTCAATTCCTCGCTCGATATACTCACTAAGGTGATAACGCAGCTGAATTATCCCACCCCCCCTAAAAAAAAATAAAAGACAAGGCAACCCAACCATGGTTTTTTTTACATTAATGACAACTCAAGCTGTGTACTTGTATATCATTGTCGCTGCAATTTTTGACTGATTAAAGTTTGTGACTTTCGTTTTATTAAAATAATCCAGCTGAACCAACCAACCATGGTTTTTTACATTATGTACGTAAGCCGCGCGCCCGGTTTTGCAAGGACATAGCTAGACTTACGAAAACCGGAAACAGAACCCAAAAAATTCTTGTTTCAGCTTCTTTTTCTACTCGTTTTATAAAATAATCCTCCACCAAACCATCCATGGGTTTTTTTTACATTATGTACATAGAAAAAGGCCCGCACGAGGTTTTGCTTGGACATAGGTAGACTTTGGGATACCGGAAACAGAACCCAAAAAATTTTTCTTAGAGCTTCTTTCTCTACATTCTAGATCTAGAGATTGAAACTGAAACAATGGCTGAAGCTGTGAGCGTTGCTGCAAAGGGAATAGTTTCCTGCCTGAGTTCAGTTGCTACTGAGTAAATCAAACTTGCATGGCGTTTTAAAGATGAGCTGAAAAGGCTTCAACACTCATTGGCTATCATTCAGGATGTGTTGCACGATGCAGAAGACAGACAAGGGAGAGATAGAGCTATTAGAAGATGGCTGCTGAAGCTTCAGGAAGTGGCTTATGAGGCAGATGATGTTCTTGATGATCTTGTTTATGAAGATCTACGAAGAGAGATCGTGATAAATAAGCCCATGTGCAGCTTAGTGTGGAAACAGGTGTGCAACTTCTTCTCTCTCTCCAACCCTGTATTGTTTCACTTCATTATGGCCAATAAAGTTGAAGAGATCAATGCATCTTTGGATAAAATAAAAAATGAAGGATTTGTTTTGGGACTTCGTAATAGAGTTGGATCAGTCGGTAGAATTACCGAAATGATCAGCCAAGACTGCAACTCTGACTCCATCCTCGATTCTGAACCTGTTGGAAGGAGAGATGATGTCTCAAAGATTATCAACATGCTGAGTAGTCTGAGCAACCAACATGAGATCTCTTTCATTTCCATAGTTGGTATGCCAGGCATTGGAAAGACAACCTTGGCTAAATCGGTGTGTAAAGAAGTAAAAGAGAAGAAGATTTTTGATGTAGCAATTTGGGTGTGTGTTTCTGACGATTTTAGTCACCAAAAGATTTTAGGAGGAATGTTAGAATCTCTGGACAGAAGTGCTGGTGGCATGACTAATATTGATGCCATACTTCAAAACCTTCGAAAAGAGTTGAAAGATAGAAGTTTTCTTCTGATTCTTGATGATGTGTGGAATGAAGATTGCCAGAAGTGGCGTGAACTGAAGAACCGTTTGTCAAAAATTAATGATAATGCAGGTGAATTATCCATACAAAAAAAGGACAAAGCAAATGCTATTGTTGTGACCACTCGTAGCCAGAACGTTGCATCTATTGTGGAGACATCTGCTTATCATAGGCATCACTTGGAAAAATTATCAAATGAAGAATGCTGGTCAATTATCAAGGAAAGAGCCTGCAAGAAAGGAAGGGCTTTAATAAGTTCAGATCTAGAAGATATTGGAAGGGTGATTGCAGAAAAATGTGGAGGTGTGCCATTGCTTGCAAGTGTTTTAGGAGGGACTCTGGGTTTTACTAGGGAACAAGAAAAGTGGTTGGCGATGAAAAATAGTGATGTTTGGAATCTAGGAAACACCGATGAGGTTTTACCTAAGCTGAAGTTGAGTTTTGACAACTTGCCATTTTGTTTGAAGCAATGTTTTGCATATTGTTCAATCTTTCCGAAAGACCACGTTTTTGAAAAGGATCAACTGATTCAGCTTTGGATGGCTCAAGGTTTTCTTCATTCATTTGAGGAAATTACATGGTCTGAAGAAGGCGGTGGTCCAGAGTTGGAAGATATTGGTGATAAGATTTTTAATGGCTTGCTATCAAACTCTTTATTCCAAGATGTGGAAAGGGACACATGTGGAAACATCAAAACTTGCAAGATGCATGATGTAGTGTATGATCTTGCTCAATTTGTTTCAAAATCTGAAATATGTGCTTCCAAGTTGACCACTGATATTTCTGATCATATTCGACATATAAATGTTGCTTATGATGAGGAATTGGTGCCTAAGATCACAGAGGATGTTGCTAAAAAATTGCGGTCTTTGTCTTCAAAAGTTAATGTCTTCAATGATGTGTCAAGAGATCTTGAAAGTTTACGAGTTTTAAACTTTGGTGATGCTATGATCAATGACTTACCAGCTTTTCTTGGTAGATTCAAGCGTTTGAGGTACTTGGATGTTTCGGGAAGTAGCATAACAACACTACCTCAATCCATGGACAGACTTTACAATTTGCAAACATTAAGATTCATGCATTGCAGATATCTGAAAATGCTTCCGAAGGGAATATTGGGAAACTTAGTAAGCTTGAGACATATTTATTTCAATGATAAAAAGCTTATGCCAGTTGAGATTGGGAGCCTACCTAGTCTAAGGACGTTGCCATTATTTGTTGTGGGTGTGGAAATTGGATTTCAAGTCAAGGAGCTGGGAAATTTAAATCAACTTCGAGGAGAATTGAGGATATGCAATCTTGAGTATGTTAAAGACAGAGAAGATGCCAGGGGTGCAAAATTGGAAGAAAAGACAAACATATACAAATTGATATATGAATGGAGCTCTGAAAGAGAGGGTTTTGACAATGATGAGGAAGAGGTGAATATTTCAGATGTCCAATGGAGCTATAAAAGCTTCAATTATGATGAAGAAATGTTGGACGACTTGCAGTCTTACTCAAGTGATCATAGCTTCAGCCAGGACGAAATGCTAGATGATGACTTGGACGAAACTGAAGGCTTGAACCATGATGAGGATTTGCTGGTCAGCTTGGAGCCTCACTTAAATCCCAAACGAAGCTATGTAAGTGGGTTCTTCAGCCGGGACAAAGTGCTGGATGATGACTTGGATGAAAGTGAAGGCTTTAACCATGATGAGGATTTGTTGGTCAGCTTGAGGCCTCACTCAAATCCCAAACGGAGCTATGTAAGTAAGTTCAATCATGATGAAGTGTTGAAGGGTTTGAAGCCTCCCCCAAATTTGAAAAGTTTGAGTATCAGGAATTCCAGGGGTAAGAACTTTCCATCATGGGTTTGGAGGAGCATCAATAGTGGTTGTAGTGATTCATCTTTGCTGAATAATTTGGTGGAATTGAATTTATTCAATTGCATGAATTGCAAAAGTCTTCCAACTCTTGGGAAATTACCCAATCTCAAAATTCTTGAAATAAAACGGATGAAGAATGTGAGGTGCATAGGTAGTGAATTTTATTGTGATCATAGTGATGCTGGTGTGTATGAAGTATTATTTCCGGCATTGAAAGAACTCACCATAGAGGATATGGAAGCTTTGGAGAAATGGATGGATCCAACCTTTTTTTCTTTTGGCGAAAGGATGGACCCAACCTTTGAAATTGTTACCTTACATGGTATGGGAACTTCAGACCAAAAGGTTAAACCGACAGACAGATTAGTAGATGTTGTTTTTCCTTGCCTTGAAGAGTTGACTATTGGTTGCTGTCCTGAGTTGAGGATTGTTCCAATGATGGGTGGATTGCCATCTCTTCAAACGCTAAAAATTTACTCTTGCAAGGAGTTAAGATGTATAGCTGATGGACTATCTGCATCAACTCGTCTCAGAAAAATAAATATACAAGTTTGCCATAATTTGGGATCCATACCTGACATCGGCAGGCTCCCCTTTCTAAAGGAAATAAAGTTAGAGAAGTGCAGAGGATTATCATCTCTGCCAATGGGGATCTCATACTGTACTTCTCTTGAGAATTTGTCAATACATGATTGCCCTTGTCTGACATGTATTCCAAACATAATTGCACTCTCCTCTCTAAGAATATTAATTCTAAACAAATGTGAGGGCCTAAGGCAGCTACCAAGAGGGTTGGAATTCTGTTCTTCTCTTGAACAATTGGACATAGTTGCTAACTTCAATCTGGAAGTTTTTCCAGGAGATTTAAGGCAATTGTGTTCTCTTCGTTTTCTAAATATCACCATTTGTCCAAATTTGAAGACATTTCCGAAGGAGTGCCTAGGCTGCTTCAGCAGCTCGAAAGTACTGACTATGGGTGGTTTCAGCGAAAAGTTGCATCGATTCCCAGGTCTCAGTTCCATCCATCATCTTCATGCCTCCCTTGATTGTTTGCTATTGTTAGGATGGAAAAGATTGAAGCATCTACCGGATCAACTTCAGCACCTCACAGCTCTTAAGCGATTGGAGATATGGTCGTTTGATGGGGTAGTAGCCTTGCCTGACTGGTTGGGAAATATGTCATCTCTTCAATCCTTAAAAATCCACCAATGCGAGAAGCTGATGCTTCTGCCTTCCACACAAGCCATGCAGCAGCTGACACAACTGAAGAGGCTTTTTATTCACAATTGTCCCAAATTAAGTAGGAGATGTGCCAAGGAGACTGGCGCTGAGTGGTCCAAGATTTCTGACATTTCAGAAGTCATAATTAAAAATGATAATTGAGGATTTCAAGTCAATTGAAACTGAGGTATGTTTAATTACTTAATCATCTTCTTCCCATCTACTATTTACATTTTCATTTTCAATTATAATTTCAGGTTTCTTATTGATCTTTTATTTTTTATTTTTAGGATGCAATGTACTGGAATTCCTTCTATAAAAGTTTGAACTGTTCCTCTCACATAATCTGCAATCCTTCTGATTTTGCATTTACCCTAGTAGGAAAAAAAAAAAAAAAGACAGTGAATCCTTTTTTCTTATCAGTTTGGCAATTCTTAAATTTTAAGTAATTATAAAGTGATGTTTTCCAGGAAATTTAAAGGCTATACATAGTATGCATGAGGGCTTTGCCTTTAAATATGAGGATTCATACATTTATTTAGGAAAATCATCTTATTTGGATGACATTTGTTTAGAACTGTGATTAACTCATGAATGACCCTATGAATTTCTCTTATTTCTCTTATTCTTTTTTGCTTAATCCTTCCATTGGACCTTCTGGTTTCCAGGTTGCTTTTCAAATCATGATGGACAGCCTCCTTGCTTTTTTGGACTTCCCTTCATAGGGAGTAGTTGATGCTCCAACAATTTAACAACTGGTTAGTTTGACTTCTTTTCTCCTTTTTGCTGATTTCATATTTCCTGTTCTAAACTCTTGTAATGACTTTCTTTTCGATTTTATGTCATTTTCCTTTTGGATTCGACTATGCTCAAGCAGATGAAAGGCAAACAAGTAGTACAAGAACAAGAGAAACAAAGTGGCATCGGTAGCACTACTGTTGCCATGAGAGTCCCTCTAAATCAGATCACTTCATCTAACTTCTTCTTTAGCATATTTACTGAGCTGGAGTCCAGGTTTTATAAAGAAAATACTTTCTATTTGTGAGGTGAGCTTTTGCTTCTTGACTTCCCATGCTATTTCTTATAAAAATAATTTACTACCCAGAATACTTTTCCAATATCATGTCAAGTTATTGATGCAGACGGCCCATGTTTTGACGGTTTTCTTTAATTCAAAACAAATGAATCACATAAGATGTTTCAATATCCTTGCTAATTGTAATAAACTGAGATTTATTGTTTAGTTGAATCTTTTTGGAAACCATGTTTATTGAGCGTAGGCTGATATTTGTTGTGACTTTTGAAACCTCTGTAGTCTGGTATTTGTCAAGATTTGCCTGTTTTTTGCCACCTGTCTGTGCCTATCAGGCGTTTCAATGAGTTTGAAGCAACATGAAACCCTTCTGCACTTCTTGCTTTCACAACTCATCTGCATAATTAACTATATTTTCAACAAGGATTTGGCACTAGTGTACACATTAGGAGTGCAATCCTAGGTGTGGCCTAACCTACATTGTTTAATCATCAGTCTGTTCTTTATGAAATTTTTTTCTCGTATTTTGGAGGATTTCTAATGTATCACCCTTTTGGTATTCATTAGAACTAATTTTGTGTTGCTGTCTTTTAATTTCAACACTTCAAATTTGCAGAATTTTTGGGAATCAAGAAGTTTGTTGAAATGGGATTGTTTACAGAGCAGATGTGGAACATCTACTTAATTTCAAATTCAAGGTTGTCTCTTGATGTTGCAAAAATATATAGATAATATTGTGGTGCTTCCATTCAAGCTTCAAGTTACTCAATCACAAAAGGAAAGTAAAAAGAAGGAAAAAAAGAGACCAGAAACTTCCTGAAATCTTGAGACCTTGTGTTGTCTGCCATTGATGCCAGAATGGAGCTCTGGTACCAAAATGATGCAATTGCTTCCTTCCTCTTCTTGCCAGCTGCTACTTTTGCTTGCACACCGCTCAGAATGGGGGTCCTCTATCTCCTCGGGCGGAGGAGGTGGTTTTCTAGCTGCATTCGCGTTCCTCCAGTCACCAACATTCAAGCCTAGCACTGCACCTGCCAAGCTCAATGTCACAGTCTTGCACAAACACAATGTTGCACTGTTTGCATCAAATTCAATATCAGCATATCTGTCTCTGCAATTATTTGATCATTATCTGAAGAATTCATTATCAGGCCATCTTTTGTCAGGAAATCTTGGTTTTCACTGTTTTCTAATCGTATTCCATATTCCATTACATATTGTAATGTGTCTGTTTGAACTTCTAACTTTAACTTCATAACCAGAAGTTTAACAGGTTTAGTAAAAATCAATCAGGGTATTTCTCTAGTTCAAAAATAATAGCATGAAATTTAGGATTAAACCCAAGCATTTGAACCCTTTTAGGATTACGTAAAATTTTCACACATGGGCACTCTTTCTTTTAGTATTTGAGATCGTTTGAGATTAAATCTTCATCACTAAAATTAAAAGTTCAACTGATTGATGAACGCGTTTTGTATACACAGTTAAAAAGGCTTCAATATGCAAACCTGCGATGAACAAGTTTATAATCTTGATTGATTTGGCACTGGCTGGAACAGGGGTTACTGAATGGGTGGACACCCTTTATCAACCCTGGGGGAATTGTTTGAATTAAAAAAAAACAAAAACAAAAACTGAGACAACATTGTCCTTTGTGATGCAGAATGAAACTTGGAATGGATAGTGTTTGTGGGTTTGGATGTAAACAGAAATGAAAATCCATTGGTTGGGACTCGATAAGGTTCTCCTCTTGTAGCCCTTCCATGAACTATCGTATCTCTGTTTTATCCTTACATTTATCTGTATCATACTGAACTATTATACCATCTCCAACCGTAACAGATAACATAAGTGATAATTTATTGGATGAGTATGTTATTAGAGTTGATATTTTGGAGATTATGGATTCGAAAAAATTTATTCATATAATGTTCTTTTCAACTAAGTAAATAGTAAAGTAAAAAATGTTATAATTGATTATCTCATATTTAATAAAATTTTAATTTTTTGTAATTTTATATTTAAATTAAATCGATTTACTTACTGTCATTTAATTTTAAGTTAAATATTTATCATTACATTAAAGTTAAAATTTTTTTTCTATTAATTTTTCTTAATTGTTACGTGGAAGGTTTTTTTTTTTTTTATTTTTGCCTATAAATGATGGGATCTGATAAAATAAATTATCTCATATCTAATAAATTTTTAATTTTTTTAATTTTATATTCAAATTAAACTTTTTTATTTATTATTAATTAATTTTAAGTTGAATGTTTAATAAAATCTATTTAAAAATTATGAATTTGAGATAATTTATATATATATAATCTTTTTCAACCAAGCTAGTAGTAAAACAAAAAAAAATTTAAAGACATTAAAAATAAAAAAAAAAACCATAAAAAGATGTAAACTTGTTTTCTTCAGCTTGCTCGGCTTTAATTTAAACTTTTTTTTTTAGTTTTTATTTTAATAGAGTTTTACATTATTTTAGTTTACTCGAGATTGAAGGCATTTTATAATCTATTATCTAGTCAAATATATTGTATTTAAAGTTTTAAACTAATTAAAATCAAATAACCTTTTATAAAAAATTAAAGCAAATTTTCATTTTGAAACCTTGTTAAAAATTTTGAATAGTCAATTTAATAGCTAAAATAAAAATACATCACAAAAATCATACATCACCGTCACGTTATGTTTTTTTATCATATTATATTTATTTCGTATTAATATTATAACTGTTTTATATTTTATTTTTTTTTATATTTAATTTATTTCATATTTATATAATATATATCATATTTATTTCGTATTCGTATCATGTTTATTTTAAAAATTATCATTTCATAATTCGTTTATGCAACAAACATAACATATTTTTTTGTTTATCATTCGTTAATAATTTTATTAAGATTTTGAGTTATATTACTTTGATATATTTTTTGTATAATTTTCGTATTTAAATCTATCTAATAAGATTGTAGAAATCCTATGCGAAAAAATGAAATGAAATGAAATGTAAATAAGTTGCCAAAGGTCCTAGAAAAAACCTTCAGAAAAGTAATCAAATTCTGGGATAAAACTGCAATGGCAGCATGTATAATAAAAGAAGGGAAAAATTTTAGTTCATTGAGATCAGCAAGCTACATTCAATCCTCATCCTCTGAATCAGCAACACCAGCTGCAGCATTAAGGGTGTGTAGCCGTTCAACTAACCTCTTAACATTTTTCACCTTCATATATGCAGCAACATGGCCATCATTAATGTACTTGCGGTGAACCTCAGCATCAAGCTGCTTGCTGTCCTTGGAGAACCAGGCGAACCTCTCGTCACTATGAGGTGTCCAAACCATCATCCTAAGGTCCCTGTTAATGTGAAAGCAAATTCTATTGACTCAAAAGTTTCATACTTCAGTGAATCAAAAGCTCTAATCCACTATATTAAAAGCTAGCTTAGCATTGCTGTTACATTAAAAAAAGTTTGGGTTGGTAAAAAGGCATTTAAAAAGTGTGATAAGAAAAATGTGATTAAAAATCTTTTGGTATTACTGTAAAAAAATACTTTTAAGTAATTGAAATATCTAAAAATATATGTATAAAATTATAAAATATTATAAATATAAGGATAATAAAATAATTTTTTATCTCAAACATACTTTTTCACGGCAAAAGCTCCTCAAAGGAGCCTTCTTGGGTTGGGTTGAAAATCCAAGCTTATAGATTAAGAAGCTAAATTTTTTTTATTATTTAATATTACGTTTAGGTTAAAAGCAGTTTTTGAATGTAAAAATTACTTTCAACAATAATATTAAACGAGACGTAAATCGAAATTTAGGCGTCAACTAAAATTGATTGCTTGAAGCATATATATTTAAACAAGTGGTCCATGAAAAAAGGTGATTCCAGTCCAATCCAATTATACAAAGAAAAGGATATATCAGAGGAAAGCTGTACTTGGAAATGGTAACGGGCAGCAGAACAAAGTAACAACAAACACATTACAAGAAGTAAAAATTTACAACAAAAAGGGGATGAAATCATTAAGATACTTTGAAGAATGATACAAGGTAATATAAAGTCGTGATTAGATAGCAACAATGATCAATTTGAATCATACTTATAAGAAAAG